ATGATTACGCTTGACTAGACATAGGAGGCTGCACAACTACAGCCAAACTGGTATGAGTAAAACTGCAAATGCATTTCAGTTGGTCCGACTCTCAAAACGCAGTCAAACTTACAGTGCAGCCAAGCGTAGTTGTCCAGGCGCCGACCGCGCGGAGGTCGAAGTCACTCGTTGGCGCCCCGAAAAAAAGGGACGTGATTTTACCTTTGACATGAATTATTTTCATTAATTCAGGCCAATTTTGGCTGAAATTTTCCCCTTGAAGTTGCTAGTTTTCCTTTTTTTCCGCAAAAACGGCCAAAGAAAGGAAACTAAAAACGAGTTAAGGGCCATCAGCTGGTCAGCTGATACATGGTTAAGAACAATACGTGGATAGCAGAAACAAGTCAAAGTTAAGGATCCCTGATTTCAGTACGTGGTTACAGGTCACTCCTTGAAAAGGGGCGACATTGGCACGATGACTCATTGTTCGATTGTTATGGTCAGTCAATTTTGATGGATCCGGCGGTCAACTTCCAACATCACCAAATTAAAAAAAAATGAAAAAACGTTTTGGTGTGGGTGCGGCCTGTTTCAATTGTTGTTTGCACTACCATGCGGATGGTGTAGCAGCAAAACAGAATTTGGGGACATTTTTGCCTTGGTATGTTGAGGGCAAAGGTGTCGCAACAAACCAGAGCCATGTGTCGTCGTCATGCTTTGGTTTCGCATTGGCACTGTTTGATGATGGTTATTTCATGTTATTTCATTTTTGCGATTGTTGAGAAATATTCTGTTTGTCACAATTTTCACTGGCCAATTCTGGGGCAATGGTTTCAGAAGCGGCGCGTGCCTTCTTTCAACAAGTTCCCCTTGGTTGGTTTGCTAGCATACGCTACTGGCTGGAAAACAAAAAAAATAAAGGTGATCCAACTTTCCACGCGGACACATTTTGTCCAATTTTGGGGCCTTATGTTATATTATTGAGGTGTGATGTTTAGTATTCACGTTCCGCCGACAGGCATGTCAACTTTCGCGACAGAATCCATACTGGACACATTTTGTCCGGGAAATTTATGTCATAAGTCATAACATTGGACAATGATAACTTAGGGTGAAACAATTTGATTTGTTATCGCCAAACGCGTGAAATTTAAAACTTGAAACGCTGGCTGCAACGAAAGCAGCGGCCATTGGTTGATATGCGCTTTGGAACCATAAAAAGTAAATGAAATTGCGGAAAAACACAACGGTGACGCCGATGATTTGCAAAGGCATTGGAAATTACAAACAACAATTGACATCATGTTTGTCATTGTGTTTGTGCACTATCACATGCCATAAACGGCAGGTTTGGAACCCGTTGTTCACAACCTCACAATGCCGATTGAACCTATTGGAAACATGCAACATCATAAACTCACATAACCCAAAACAATTTGAGGTTATTGTTGAGTCAGAACTATGTAGAAACGGCCGGATGGCATGTAGGGGGGACATCGTGCAACATGTTGCGAAACACATTCAACGCGGGCGCCAAATCGATTAAACGGATTAAACCTGGACACAAAACCCGTTGGGAGGAGTTCCGCGCTCATGACATGAGGTTTGCTAAGAAAAACGTGTGTTTCACCATAACCAGCCCCAAACTGATTTGCCAATCCGATTTTCATGTGCTTTTGGGCGTTGATTTGCCCAGACGCAAATGTTACCAGATGCTTGGCGTCAAACCCAGGTGTTTGGTTAATTTTTATTTGTTTGTAAAATTCGACCCATCTCAACATTTAATTTTACGGTTTGGCACCATTTGAGTGCAAATCTTCTGGGATACGCTAACCGTTGGGAATGACCATTCCAAAAACGTTGAAATGAAAATTCAATGCCGACCTTTGGTTGAAATTTCGTTGGCAGGCCCACTGTGTCTTTCCATCTAGTCAAAAAGTTTGCATCCGTATTGAATGATCCCGGGGCACGTTGCGCATCAATTAGGAAAACATGGTGTGCAGATCTTAGTGCAAATGAACACTGCGTACTGAAAAGTGGGTTGGCCACCGCCTTTGTGCCTGTGTTGTCAGTTTGGCTGAAGATTCCACAGTGTGCAGCAGCGCCAGCTGTCCCAAACACAATGTCTTTTGGCAAGTCGTGCGGGAGATGGATGGTCAAAACGTGCTCCAAAATTGGATCTCGCCGCCAAGTGCCAAAGCCGGAAAAAATATGATCTTGAAGTCGTTTGGGAAAATTAACCCCAATTGGAGTCCAACATGGTTGGCCAACTTGGGCATGTTTGGATGCAGGTGGGGCAGGCAGGCCCAACATGGCCTTGCACGAACCCTAATCAAAGCCGTTGGAAATAGCAATGAACGCATATTTTCAGTGTGTCGCATTGAATCCGCGAAATTGGCCCGGGTTGGGCTCAGCTTGGGCCCGGGCTACCTCAAAGACGCCGAACTTGGACCCCCAAGTTGCGCTATGTTGGACCCAGCTCAGCTGGAGCCCAAGTTGCCAGCCAATTGGCCATGTTGGGCTGCAGTTGGGCCCAAATCGACCAAGATGGGCGCCAAATTCAAGCCACGTGATGCACATGGAAGTCCAAATTACGCCCAAAGTGGCGCATCTTGGGACCTTCTGGCGACAATTTCAAACGGACACACAACATGTCATCGAAACAAAAAAAAATACAACTGAAAAGGGGCGTTTTGAAAATTTCAGATTGGGCCGGCTATGTCCCCCATTGTGACGCCATATGGGCTTCAACTTGGGCCGAAGTTGCTCTCAAATGGGTCGAAGTTGAGGCCAAGTTGCGCCCAAATTGTGCCATCTTGGGGCCAAGTTTGGCCGAAGTTGGAGCCAAGTGGGTCCAAGTTGGGCCGAAGTTGGAGCCTTATGTTGCGGCCATTTCGGATCGAAACGGTGCATTTGCACGATTTTGTGCCGATATGCAAAATGCGCAAATTACGACGGTACCGTGCACTTTTCGGCGGCCTGGACGGGAATGAGCCCCCCCGGTTGAAACTATATATGATCCCGTCTTCCGCCCGCGAGGCCGCCCCCCCCCCGAATGGGATGGGTCTCCAGGTAGCACCCCCGTTCCCTTCTATTTGCAAGCTATTGGCAGCATTTCTGAGGTCCAGCCTCATATTTGCCAGGTTTTTGCAGCGATTCTGACTACCAGCCTCCCATTTACTAGGTACATGCTACCCCTTAGACGACCTACGTAGCACACATACTCCCTCAAAGTACCTACGTGCTACCTATAGTCAGATATACATGTGCTATGTATCTACTTCCTATAAATGTCATAGATACATACATATGTATATAAATAAATAATAAACATATATATATATATACATACACACACACATATATATATATATTTGTATTTAAATATACATTTACATTTACACATATATACATATATTCACATATATATATATATATTTATATATGTACACATGCATACATACATACATACATACATACCTACATACATACATACATACATGCATACATACATACATACATACATACATATATACATATATGTCCTTCATGTTTACTTTGTGACGGTGGCAGAACTTCGGCTCATGCTAGCTTTCACCAGTGGTGCAACAACCGCTGGTAGTTTGGCCTTGGCATACAAACTGCTGAGTTGGGCCGAAAAATCCGAGCCCCTTAGCCTTCCTTTCGCTGCCGCGAGCCATTGGAGATTCGACGCTCTCAGCTTCATGTTTGGGGCCATCTGTGGGATTGCCCTAATTTTCCTGGCGGAGGTCTGGTTCACGGTGAAGTGGGTAATACTTAGCTGGGCTGATCGTCGAGCTGAGCAAAAGCCTGTGGCTCTGGGAAGAGCAGGACAGAAACCCCTCTACAAACTCTGTTGATGCACCCTCCCCGAGACTTTGCGGGAGAGTTGCAAGACGTGAAAGAGGAGGTAGAGGATTTGCGAGCTGAAGTCCGGCGCCTTCGACGTGGGCTGCTTGAGCTACGTGCTCTTGTTACTGATCAGCAAGTGACTGCATCTGGGCGCGACTCAACTGTGGGGGGATCCTATTCTACGGCTTCTTTTTCTCCGTCTCCTGAGCGGGGTGCGGAGGCTGTTGCCGCAACATCGGCGACTTTGCAATCAGTGCCTGAGCAAGCTGGGACAGCCGCGCCGAGTGCGCATACCGCTCTCAGTTGGCAGCAACGTGAGGAGATCTGCGATCAGATCGGGCGCTTTTTAGCCAGGTCAATCGCGGGAGGGCACAGAGGGTCAAGTGGACGGGAGAAGATCAACCTTCCCTCGCGGCTCTGGATCATAGTCCGCGATTTCAGCGGGCAGATCTATACACCTGTCAAGGTGGTGAGATCGTGGTCTTCCTGCAAGACTCTTTGCAAGCCTGGCAATCACGAGTGCGGTGATTCGGTGTTCGTTGGGGTGCCTTCCGAAAGGGAGGCAAAGCGGGTCGTCGCTGCTGCTCAGCTCGATTGGCCTGGTGCAATTGATCCATGAGAGTTTTCCGTCAGGGTGCATGGCCTGAGGAAAGCTCACCACTGGTCTACTCAGAGGGGCTGGTGAACCTAATTTATCCTGTCGGCCAGTTTTTTGCCGATCAGGATAACTGCACGGGAAGTTTGCAAATAATTCAAATCTGTGAGCTGGAAAACCGTTTGTTGGTTGCAGTCCCACAAACTGCTTGGCACCGTTCCCTTTCAAAGCGCCTGCTGCCGCCTGGAGTTTTGGTCCGGGCCACATTGGTTGAAGTACAAGCTGCAGAAGGAGATCATGTTGACGTGGCTATTGACGGTGTGTCGCTTAAACTATGGGTCGGCTTTTTGAAGAAGTCCCTTCGCGACGCCATCGAGATTTTGGAGGAGTTCGACGTCGACTACTTCTTCGACGACAACGAGAGCAGGAGAGCGCTACCTCTAGCGCAGGCCCTGGTGGATGTGTCTCAAGAGCATTTTGCTTTCTTTTCGGCCGACGGCTACGGAGGTCCAGGCTTCGACGAGACGGGCTTGGGAGAAGAGATGACTGCCGGAGCTGCCGATGCTGGGTTGGACGGCGAGCCTATGACCGACTTGGAGGTGCGCATGGCAAAGATGGAGGATGCGCTGAGCGACATTGCTCAGGAGCTCAGGAGGCAGGGTCCTTTGAAGGCTTCGACAAAGCGCAGAGCTTCTCCAAAGCCCACCCTCAAGCCAAAGCAAACCACACAGGCCTCTTCATCGGGGGACTTCTTGCCGACGGACGCCAAGGCCATGTTTCCGAAGTTGGATGCTGGTGTTGTTGCAGCAGCCTTGCAAGCTGGAGTTCCGTTGGCGCATCTGGAGTCCATGCAGAGCCTGATGGCCCAGCTTACCAAGGCCACCAAACTCAAGGATCTGAATCCGAATGTGGCTCCCGACCCTTTGTCGGAGAACGATGGGCTTCCAGACGAAGAAGAAGAACTACTGCCCGCCGAATATGGCTTGGGAGAAAAGAGTCCAATTGCATCCACTTTGTCAAAGCTGACCTCCATTGTGGAGTACCTAACAGACGAGAAGAAGAAGAAAACTTCAGTGAGCAAGCTGGAGTCAGCTTTGGAGGGGGGATCAACTGGCTCGTCAGATGTTCCGCTTTATGGGAGTGGGAAAAAGGCGGCTCAAGCAAGGAGGGCGTTCCGGTCCTCTTTCGAAGAGAGCCCCGGCGACATCGCTGCGCTCATAGAGAAGCTCATGTACGAGGACCTCACCTCGACGTCCCTGGCTCACGGCATGCCTCCAAGGGGGCTCAATGCAAGAGCGTGGGTGGAGCACAGGAGTCACATTACTGCCCACAAGACAGGGGCGCATGCAGCTTGGAGTGTGGCGGGGATCTTGGACAGCCTCATCTTGGGAAACTACACCAAGGCAAGGGCTCGATGTGCAGTCCTGCTCTTGATGTTGGATCAGGCAAGCAGAGATCGGGGAAACTGGACCCTGGCGGCCGAGCTTGCGCCCGAACCTGGACCGCCAATGAATGCGCTCAGCAATCATGTGGGGCCAGCGGTTCAGGATGGCGAGAGCCCATTTAGCAGGCTTTTGGATCCACGATGGGCAGAAGCAGCTCTGGCACATCTCAAGGACCAAGACGACTACCTGGCAAAAAGGCGCAATGTGGGAAAAGTGGCGACGACAATCCAGAAGCAGATGCAAAGAGGCGACCAAGGCCCAAGGCGAAGGCAAAGAACCAGCCAGCGGGCCCGACGCACGAGGGATGACCCTAGTGCATGGGGGCTTGGATGATGGTGGTGAAGGAGGTGGACGAAGAGCCCCTGGTGCAGAGGCCACTACCATCCGAGGTGCTTTTTTGAATTCGATGCCCCGATGGCTGCTTCGGACAAGATGCAGCCTTCAGAGTTTTTTGCGCTCAATCCTGATGATGCCCTGGCGCGATTTTGGCCTCACGTCCAAGGCGGGTTCTACCTGGCCGCTGCCGCTTCCCTTCCCGGAGGTCTTCTCTGCTGGCGGATGTCTTGATTCCCGCTCGCATGTGAAAAGGCTGATCTCCTTGCAAGTGTTGGCTCTTGACAGGCTTCATTTGGGAAAGCCGGCAGCTGCACCGCCAACACTTGCTTTGGGCACCTCATTGACTGCGCGGCAGTGGTCTGTAGTGCGAATGCTTGAGCACCTTGCCTTCGACGGTACAACTCCCGAATTTGTGGATGCTGCCTGCATGGGCCGAGTGGCCAGTAAAGTGGAAGGCTTCGAAGAGAGCCTGGCCGCCCTCTCACGGGCAGTTTCTACCTTGCATACCTCCTCTGGGCACTATTTTGGTGCTACCGCCCACAGCCGGAGCCCCCCAGATGAGGATATGGCTATCCAGCGTTGTGGGACAGTTTGCGGCTCATTGAACCAGAGGGTGGAACCAACAGCTCGGCCTCTTGTGGCTGCCAGGCTCACCTTTCCGCCTGCACCGCGGTTTGACCCGCGACCTTACTTTGACCACAGCACCCAGGACCTCTATGAGTTCCCTCTCTCTCATGGCAGAAAACTGGAAGAGATAGGAAAGCCACCTGCAGTGCAAGTGCGTGCAAGTCCGCAGGGCCGGATTCAGTTGTACCAGAAGCTTGCGCAATCAGGCCTTTTGAAACCTGTGCCAGAAGGTACCTACCTTGACCTCTACCGCAACGGCCTCTTCTCTGTCCCAAAGGACGCTGAGCGTGACAGGATGGTGTTGGACGGACGTCCAGCAAATATGGTCGACAGGGGTCAGCACAAGTGGTGTCAAGCAATGGTTTCCGCTGCAGCGTTGGGAGGGCTTCACATCGAAGATGACAAAGTCCTGGTGTGCGGGGGTGAGGACCTTCGCGACTACTTCTACCAGTTTGTGGTCAATGAAGAGCGAACGGCGAGAAATGTTTTGCAAGGCAGCCTTAGTTTGAAGGAGGCAAAGCAGGTTTTTGGAACCAAGTTTGAGTGGCCTGCTGAACGTGTAGCAGTTGGTTTGAGCAGCTTGGCAATGGGTGACACCTGTGCTGTGGAGTATGCTCAGTGCTCCCACCTTGGGTTGTTGCTACAGGGCAAAGCGCTGCGGGTGAAGGAGCTGCTGACTCTGCACGGCTCCGTTCCTAGGGGTTTGCTGCAGATTGGGATCGTTGTGGATGACCTGGTTGTGCTGGAGCAAGTTTTACGAACGGAGTTGGAAGAGAGAGGTGCTACTGCAGCAGCCTCTCTGAGTGCTGAGCGGCTTTCCAATGCTCGGGTGGCCTATGCCCAAGCCGGGCTGCCCAACAATGAGAAGAAAGGCTTTGCGGGGCTGACCTGTGCCAACTTCTGGGGAATAGATGTCGATGGCGACAAAGGCCTCTTGCGTGCCAGTCAACGACGACTATGGCCTGCAATGGTTATTTCCTTACGTGTATGCGCACTGGGTTTGGCCACTGTGGGACTCCTTGAATCCCTTGCAGGCATGTGGGTGTCTCTTTTGGCAGTGAGGAGAAGGTTGTTCAGTGTCATGGACCTCATTTTTGAGCCGCTGACATTGGACTGCTCCAGCTCCACGGTGATCCGCCTGTCCAGCGACATGATCTCGGAGCTGGCTTGCATCTGCCTCTTGGGCACTTTGGCCGTGGTCAACCTCAGGGCCGACTTCGCCAACTTTGTCTGCGCTACTGATTCAAGTGGCTCAGTGATGGCTGGTGTCAGAGCATCGATACCAAAGTTGTTCTCCAAAGAGTTGGCGCGGCACACTATTCGCAAGGGAGTTTGGGCTAAGCTGCTGCCCCCTGGGAAGGCGCTGTTGAGGATGCATGGACTCCTGGAGCCAGGAGAAGAGACACCTGAGGAAGGGTATAGGACCAACCCTCTCTGGGAGGTTGTCGCACGTGGGCTTACGTACCATGAGTGCTGGAGGAGGAGAATTAGGAGGCAGAAGCATATCAATGTGACAGAGCTGCAAGCTTTTGTGGAGGAGGAGAAGCGTATTGCAAACTCGACCCCAAGCCTTCGAGTTCCTTTCGGACTCGACTCACAGGTGGGTCTTGGTGCTGTGGCAAAAGGATGTGCTGCTTCCCCGAGCCTGAATGCTGTGTTGCAACAGAGCATGTGCTATGCCATCGGTGGAGATGTTTACACCCTGCCTATGTACTTCAACACTGCCTCAAACAGAGCTGATGGACCCACCAGAGGAACTGCTCCAAAGGGCCCCGACCTTGCTTTACTTGATTGGTTTGGTGAACTTGCTCAAGGAGACACTGAAAGCTTTGATAGGTGGATGGACTTGGCGGGTGTACCCTCGCCTGAACCCGAGCTGCCTTATGCTGACCTCTGCGGCGCTCAAGATCTAGACCTTAGCTCTGGCTCTGTTTTGCGCCGTAAGGAGTCGGCTGTTTTGGGCCGCCCAGGACATGTGAAAGGGGACTTGGCTCTGCCTGAGGAAACTGCAGCCCTGCAGAATGAAGTTGGTAGGTTGTCAAAGTTGTGCCCTGAGGCTGTTGAGCTGCTCTCATGCTTCCCAAGGAGGCAATTCTACTTTCGTGAAGGCGTTCTTGACTTTTTCGAGGCTGGCTGTTTGGACCTTTTTTCTGGAAAGTTTGGAGTGGCCCGGCAGCTTGTGCGTTGTGGTGCACCTTGGGTACTTACGTTTGAGTGGGAGAGAAGTTCAGATGAAGACTTGCTGCAGCCTCAGCTCAGAACAAAGCTCCGGAGGATGATAGCAGTTGGATGTTTCAAAGCGTTTGGTGCTGCCCCCATTTGTGCAAGCTTTTCTGTTGCGGTGACACCGCCGGTGCGGAGTAGCCAGTTTCCTCGAGGGCTCCCCAACTTGTGGCGTTCCATGCAGCAAAAAGTTCGCGATGGAAACAGCCACAGCGACTTTGTCCGTGACCTGGTCGAGGATGCCGAGTTCTACGTCCTTGCCTATTTCGTGGAGAACCCTGATTTGTCATGGTGGTGGAGGCAGAAGAGATGGAAGCGCTGGAGGAGCAGCACCTCAGCCTGTTGCTTCAGGCTCTGTTTTTGCCGTTTTGGTACTCCCTGGCAGAAGGCAACGCGTGTTGCAACCAACACCAGACTTGCCGGGGTGAGAATGATGTGCAAATGCAAGAGGCCCCACCAGAGACTCAGGGGAGGGCATCCGACACTGAAGAAACCTTGGACTGCTGTGGCCCAGCCTTATCCTCGTGGGTTATGCAGGCTACTGGCTCTTGCACTATGTCAACACGCTGGATGGTGTGGGCGTGAACGTTTGAATGTTGCTGACTGTGCAAAGCTGGGCTGCTTGAGACCTGGCGAGGCTAAGAACCCAGGGCCACGGAGAAGGCTGCCGCGTGAACGACAAGGTAGCCTTTTGGATGTCAAGCTGGTGACTACACAAACGCTGGCGCTGGAAGCGAAGCAGCTTAAGATGTTTTGTGACTGGTGCAACAAATGGCTTCAGGGTATTGATTTGGAAGTTTTATTTAGCAGGGTGCCGCAGTTTTTGGTTTCTGCTTTGGAGCGCCATGCTGAATGGCTTTTCAAGAACTCTGGGGCACTCAGCAACATGCGACACATCATACTTGCTGCACAGCGTTGGATACCGGCCTCTCGGCCTTTGATGACCCCAGCTTGGGAAATGGTGGACAGATGGGAGTTGTTGTTGCCAGTGAACCATCGCATTCCCATCCCTTACAACGTCGTGTGTGCAATGTGCACGATTGCTTGGCACCTGGGATGGTATGCATGGGTTGGCGCTACAGTGCTCGCTTATTTTGGAGCAGGAAGGCTGGGAGAGGTTTTGAGATGCTGCCGCGAGGACTTGGTTTTGCCTCAGGACGTTTTGAGCCGGCGGAGTCGCCGATCTTTTTACGACTGCGGTCGTTCAAGTCACAGTTTAGGCAGCCCTCGAAAGTTCAGCATATGAAGGTGGTTGACCCCTCAGCCTGCCGTTTGCTCACCAAAATTTTCAAACACCTCCCTCTTGATGCTCCTCTCTTTGACTCCTCACCCTATCAGTACAGAAAACGATGGGATTTGGTTTTGCGCCTGCTGTCAGTGCCTGTGAACTTTCACCTGACACCTGGTGGTTTAAGAGGAGGAGCTGCAGTCTACCACTACAAGTGTGGAAAACCCATCAATGACTTGATGTGGCTGCTAAGACTTCGCAGCCAGTCCACACTCGAGAGTTACCTACAGGAAGTCGCTGCCCTGAACATTTTTGCTCGACTCCCCTCCAATGCAAGAGAATGCATACGCATGGCTTCTGCTTTCTTTCAGTTTTTGCCTTCTGGTGACTGCTGCCTCGCAGGATGAAGACAAACTCCCTTTGTGGAACACGTCCTTGCGCACCTGCGGACCGTCCCTGCAAGACTTGGTTGTGACTACAGCTGCTGGATGCTCCTATGTCATGGTGGTGCTCTATGGCCTCCTCAATTGCCCTGGAGCTTGGTCCACCTGGGCCTTTTGTTGCGGCATCCTTTGGCGCAGCTGCGGTGCACTCTTACCTTTGTGGGTGATGGAAAAAGAGTGTGCGCTGCTTCACCAGCTTCGACCTATGTCATGGCGGTGCTCTATGGCCTCCTCAATTGCCCTGGAGCTTGGTCCACCTGGGCCTTTTGTTGCGGCATCCTTTGGCGCAGCTGCGGTGCACTCTTACTTTTGTGGGTGATGGAAAAAGACTGTGCGCTGCTTCACCAGCTTCAACCTTTGGGCACTGAGTCACTTTTGTCAACATATATATATATGAATACATACATGCATACATACATACATACACACATACCTACATACATATACATATATATATACATACACACATATAAAAGCATATAAATATATATACATATATAAATATATATATATATACGCATACATGTGTACATACACACATATATATATAATATATTTATATAAAGGCAGTACCACACCCCCACCACACCACGGGGGGGCGGGGAACATACCTCTTGAATGTCCATACCCATTCCTACGACTAACTACTACTCACTACTACATACTACTAACTGCTACTGACCCCCTTACCCCCCTACCCACCCACAGAGGGGGTGGGGAACATAGCTCCTGTATATCCATACCCATTCCTACTACTAACTACTACTCACTACTACTCACTACTACATACTACTACTAACCCACCCACCCCCCTACCCACCCACAGGGGGGCGGGGAACATAGTTCCTGTATATCCGTACCCATTCCTACTACTAACTACTACTAACTACTACGAACTACTACTAAACCCCCCCACCACCCTACCCACCCACAGGGGGGGCGGGGAACATAGCTCCTGTATATCCATACCCATTCCTACTAATTACTAACTACTACTCACTACGACTAACTACAACTACAACAACAACAACTACTACTACTACTGCTGCTACTACTACTACTGCTACTACTAACCCCCCCACCCACCCACAGGGGGGGGGCGGGGAACATAGTTCCTGTATACCCATACCCATTGGGGGGGAGGGGGGGGGTGCCATTGACGGTTGGCGTCGATTTTGCGGCACCACTTCTTGTGCATGTAAGCAGGGTGGAATGGGTTAAGGTGTCTCGATACATGTAGCTGTAACCTGCAACTCCCTTTATATTGGCAATTCTGCGTAGGATTTATCTCCGGCGCCAAGCACCACTTTCAGAGCATGGGTGCTTTGCACTTTGGCGCGCCTGGTTCATACTATTCACTGGGCTTCCGTTGCCCATGTGCATAACTTTAACTTGGTCGCAGAAAGGAAGCATTGCAGCCGTATATCTAGAACTATAGATACGATACCTAGACTATACATTATGTAACTATATATTTATGTATGTGTATAAGTATATATATATATGCAAATATGTATACATGCAAAAACAATATATTTAGTATATACACATATCTATTGCCTTGGATTTATTCTTTATGCTACTGCCCCTCTTTCCCTCTCACTTTTTGGTGTTCTATTTGCGTCCTTCTCTTTCTTTCTTTCCCTGATGCTTGCATTCACGCCGAAATTTCTGACCCAAAACACGTATAAGCATTGATAATTCCGTGGACAGACATTTTGGAGCGTCAAATCTTCATGCACATGTACATGCATGTGCAATAAGTACAAAGGCTGCTGTGTATCAGGTGTGAGCGTGTGTGAGCGTGTTTGAGCATCATATTCATTTTTTGCCGCCTCGATCTGATTTTCGCACTAATTTAACTTTGCACACGGGAAACTAATTAAATCCGCTTGGAATTGGCAAGTGGGCACGCCTGCAAATTAGTTGAAAAGAGCTCCAAATATCCAAAAGCACAATTGTTTTTTTTTTCAAGTTGGTATGCCACATTAATTGACTCCACTTGGCAGCTCATCGCGGTTCATCCGCAGCTGACGAAGATTCAGCTGCAGCGCTGCGTTTTGGCCGCCTGGCTCGCAGCACCGCACTTGTTGATTTGTTGAAAAAGGAATGGCGTTCGAACAAAAGATTAAATATGAACAGATCCACGGATAGCAACAACAAACAAAGACACAGCATCTTATATAGCTTTCTATATCCAATGACAGCCAACAAGAGCAGATATGCCTTGACAATGCACATCAAACCCTGCAATCACAACACGAAAATCATGCTGGACATTGCGCATCAAAGTTCTGGTACGGAGTGGACATGCGGAATCTCGGCGTAATGGTCTCGCGATCGCGATCTGGCATGCAAGATGTTTGTTTCTCACTTTCTGTATCTTTTTTTTTTTCTCTCTCTTTTTTTCTCTCTCTCTCTCTCTCTCTTTCTTTTTCTCTTTATTTATCCACCCCAGGCACTGGCGAGGGCTTGACCCCCAGCTCCGGACGGCGGGCGCTGGAAGGAAAGTTCTCAAGGGCGCCGCCGCCACTGGCGAGGGTGGACAGCGGCCCAGCTCCGGCCTGTTGTGGCTTGATGTTGTTACTGCAGCGCAGGGGCAGAAGTGGCAAGTGGATCAGAAGCTGTTTAGTGGCACGCACGTGGAGGATAAAGTGGCTGATCCTTTCAGGTTGTCTTAATTGCACTCATCGAACATATGCGCGCTACGATTTGAATGCCTTCATCTGCCTCGAGTTTTTGCTATAGTTCCGTTGTCCGAGGTATACGCGGTAGGGGCCCGTGGCCTTTTGTTGCTGCAGACTTTGATGTACTTTGGTTACCATTGGTTACCGTAAAATTAAAACGCATGTTTTTGATTTATTTCAACATGGGGCGCAGGGAAAGTTACTGTTGGCGTGGTAGGAGAACGTGATCAAGTAGGCAGACGGGGCAGATTGAGTTTACGGTTTAATGAAAATGGCTATGCTATTGGGGCTGCTAGCGGTGCAGGTGCAATTTATCTTTGGGGTATTTGAATGTGTAGAAGGGCCACGACATCAAGGTAGGGACCATCTGCAGCTGGATGGTTTGTTGCTAAACTATGTGCGTACTGGTGGGAGCACAACAAAAAAGTTTTAAGAAACACATTGCGCATTGGCCAGGCATGCAATTATTCGGGAGAGCACGCGACAGACGATTGAATTTAAAGAAGACTTGGCCGATATTGCGGATGAGGCAGTAATGCATGCAACGGAAAGGCACCAGTGACAAAGCTATAGTGACAGCACATTGTGCAGGACGGATAAGTGTGGATTGCGGGTCTGTGCATGTAAGCCTGCCAAGGCACTTCTGTTGAGTAAAGACGGTGCGCTTGAAGGCGCCTTTATGTTGAACTTTCTCCTTGTTCTTCAGCTGTCGGTTGCGGGTCTCCTTCTTCCATTGTGCGGCCTTTTTTGCAGCCGTTTCTTTTCTTGCGGCCAACTTCCCAGGATTCACCCTGCGCACTGGCTTGCGCAAGTCTTGCCTGCTGATAATGGGTTGTACCTGCCCTTCCTCAAGAGCTGGCAGAAAACCCTTTTTCAAGCAGCCTTGCATTAAGCTGAGAATCTCAGACTCCTTTCTTTGTGCCAAGGTGTGGAAGTATGCGGCCGAATGGTGGGCCAACATCTTGGCCAAGCTGAAAGCTGCAAGTTGTGGTGGGAAGGTTTGGATGTGCTGCTGGATGATTTGCTCTTGGCAAGCTTTCAATTGAAAGTGCAAGGCTTCATTGCTGCACGTGCCAAAACTCAGGAGTTGGAGCTCCGCAGGTGGCAGCACGTCGTGGAGTGCAGAGATGATGTGCGATCCGTTCCACAAGTAGCGAAAATGAGTGTAGGAAGCCCCGGCCTTCAAGATCTGGCGGATTGTGCGCCCTTTCTTGTCCTTGTGGCCCATGTTGTCTGGAAACGCAGTGCAAAGGGCTTGGATGTCATTGATATACTCCTGGTGGTTGCAGTATGGTTTGGTTGCTTTTTTATCCCAATCTGTTTCGGTAGCTTCTTTGTCCATCAGATTGTCCGACCAGTTGCCGGCATCAGGAGGGTCTTCCACAGCATGGCCACGAAAGAACGGAGCTGCGTATGGCAGGCGGAAGCGGGTTTGGATCTTGAGCAAGCATGAGGACAAGGCAGTGCGCTTCTCTCCAGTACAAGCTTCCACGCGCAGCACCAAATGCAAAGCATCTTCTGCGACAGCTTCCAAGTTTGGCAAGACTTCGGCCGCGCCTTCTACAGAGGTAGGGCTATCAGAGAAGATGTACTTGACCGTGTCCCGAGCAGCTTGAGGCAGGACTTCAGCAATGGCCGCCCGAAACTGAGCAGGACCCTCCGTGCGCTGAAGGCTGAAGCCAGGCACAGCGCCCGACCGGCCAAGAAACGTGTGAAGGGCATGGAATTCACCTTGTTTCTGTTGCATTGGCACTTGTCCAATGGCGCTGAACAATACTTGATATGTTGCATCATGACTGCAAACAAGCCATTCTTGGCGCTCAGTGGCAGCTTCAACCAAGCCTGCATGCAAGTCACGCACTGGCTTCAAGGCCATGACTTCTTGAAACACCGCCTGGCGGGTATCTCCTCTGCGGCAACCAAGCAGTGCGCAAGAGCTTCCTCGAGAGACCCAATCACTTGTGATGTCGTTGAACATCGTGTGGACTTTGCCTCGGTGTTTGATTGCCTTGGCCAGCACCAAATCTGCGAAATCATTGCTAATGTAGAGCATCTTGTTGATCCGCAGAGCTTGTGCTGTTTGTTGCTTGAGAACATATTGTGGGCCAGTGCCAGTGAGAATCAACGCCATGTCCACAAAATTTTGGGTGGAGAGGTAGCGGAGCGAGTCTGCATCCAGTTTTGCCCAAGATCGAATGCAGGTTGCTGCCAGGGAAAGTAGGTTATCTTCTGCATGGCAGCCAGGTATCAGAGGTCGTAAGGCCTGGCGGATAACGAAGCATGGCATGTCCACGTGCGCATGTGTATTTACAACAGATGTGGTTCGAACCTGCCTGCTTCTGCTCAAAGATGGCACATGCGACATAGAACTGTTGCTTGTTGGTGACAAAATCCTTTCCTGCCGTGTGGTATTTTTCGACATGTGTGAGGAGGGATGATCTTCGGCTGAATGTACGGAAGGGGCACATGGTACAAGCATACGCTGCTTCTGGATTCGATCGACCAGCTTCGCGCTGCAAACCTGAGAAACTTAAGATATCAAAAATGCTTAGAGGTTACGGTGGCTGATATTGGTATTATCATATTGTCTCTGAAATGAATCCTGCACAGGCAGGCGTATACTTTCCTCGACGCTTTCTGCTGTCGTGATGCCTTTTTGGGGTAACGTCTGAAAGGCCAGCGACTAGCAAAGAGGAAAAGTTTGTCATATACAACAAGAAATTTGACATCATGGAGTATCATGGATGCTGTTGACCTTGCAACTGTGGTAACTAAGCTTGGGACGGGCAAGTTCCTGGGAAACCTCCCTAGACATGCGCTCTCGAACTTGTGGCATGACCGGGCGCAAAGTCTCCTCAGCCTCCACCACACCGGCTTTCAAAAGAAGTTCAACTGAAGTCGTCGACGCCGCATCTTTTTTGCGACGCTTGGCCTGTGGTTCCCCATCCTGACTGATAATGGAGACTTTGAAGATGTACGTGCCTGGTGTCTTTGCTAGCTTCTGCCAGAGCAATTGCGTATTGGTTTGGATGTACTCCTCCTCTGTCGAGGTGTAGATCTGGGCGGTAGCCTCCACCATTTTCACACCATATGCATGACCAACGTCAGCATCCCAAGTGTTTGACGCATGGACCAGGAAACATGTCCCGTCACCGCTTTGAGTGGCTTGATCGAACGAAGTTGGTTCAATGAGAACATTGGGGCAAATCTCCATGGTGTGGTGGTAGGAGATCGGGCTGCTCAAATTGGAGGTTGCTTCTTTGATACCATTGGCTTCGTCTGGAAACAGGTTCAGGAGAGCAGTGCCAATGCATGAGAAGCGCCCAGGTAGGCGCTGGACCGGGTCCATACGGATGGCCATGTTGTTGGACAAGAGTTCGCGCAATATGTTCGGCACAGTCGCCTGCGGCCTGGTGCGGCTCAATGTTTTGACCTGCATCGTGATTCCTGTGCTGTCGCGAAAATCATTGAGCAAAGCATCTTGATTTGGCGCCCTCTCGGTGCCATCTTCCTCTGTTCTGCTCTGTGGCACGGCCAGCACTGCATCAAAGACAGGTGCAACCAAAGCAAACCCATACTTTGGCAGTAATTTGCAGAATGCTTGCATGGTCTGGTTTTCCTTGTCAAAGAGCAGGAAAGCCATGGTGGAAGTCTCTGGTCTCGGTCGGCCAGCTGCCCGCATGGCTGCCAGCAAGCTAGGGTGCCTTTCGCACATGGTGGCCCGCAGCCTCATGGCATCTGCTGCTAAGCCTTCAAGCAATGGGCAAATCACAGGTTTGCCACTCGCACGCGATGGGAAAGCAAAACCAAAGCAAGCCTGCAACAGGGCCTTCTTTGCATCCTGCTCGGCAAGGGCAAACCACTGCATGACGATCTTCCGCCATGTCCCTTTGTTTGCATGATAGCGTTGGAAGCAAGGCAGGTCGAGCCCATATTCCTTTGCCCAGACCAATGCGAAGTGAACCACTGCATTGGGCATATCAAACTCCTTGGTTCCAGGCGGGCTTCCAAAGTCTCGGGCGGAACGGGACAAATTTGGAAAGCTGATCCAGGGGAAGAAAACACGCCCCAAGGATGCGCCAGCGACTTTCTTCTGGTGCCCCAATGTGGAAAGGATGGTCACGTCACCCTCGATTGTGCCTTCTCTTTCACAAAGCTCTGCAAGTAGGCGTGCGTGTTCTCCTTTATCACCAGGGACCATCTCCGCAAACTCTTTCAAGCCAGCAACATCCATCCGGCAGGAAATTTCCCAAGCGTCTCCTCGGGGAAATCCTGGTGTCTCATCGGTGTTGTAGGCTGAAGCTTCCGCAGCGCTGGGCCAGAGCCAATCATTCCATGTTCCAACCACTTCCGGGATGTTCTGGCTTTCTAGGCATGTTTGGAGGCACTGGTGCCAACTGTCAGCATCGAGGCACCGGCGCTCAAAGCGGTCCAAGGGGGCTCCTGCACGTTGGAGACCGTCGACCAAGCGGATCAAGTGAGGAAACTGCTGCAAAGAATCCTTCAAATATTCCACCCGTAGTTTCTTCCCAGGCCGTCTTGGAGGAGCAGAGCCCGGATTGGAAGGCACAACAATCCGGTTGATGTCTGCCTCGGCAAAAGGAAAGGCATAGTATGGCATAGCATGCTTTTAAGGCAAAGCGAACAAATAAAATCTTCGATATGGGCCGGGCGGCGAAGGGTATGTTAAAAAAAGAACTGTACTCCAGGAGTTTGACTGTTGGAAGAGAATTTACATTGTTCTACCAATGGACAGCAAATTGGCGGATGTACTAAGGCAGACGCTGCGGAGAAGAATTGGGCGTGGATGGAGGCGTGAGTCTCCCGGACAATGCGCTCAGGCAAAGTCGCTGCAGGAGCTTCACCAGGTCTTTCATTCTGGGCTTCAAGGCCTTGGGCTGTGTCTGGATGGATGCAGTCAGTGGTGCGGTTCATCTTCCTCAGCAACCAGTGGGTATCTTTGTGCATGCTCGTGCCTTTCCTCATGTACTCCAGGTTGTCACTGCATGTTTGCGCCCCGTTTGCCCGAAGATGAGGAAAAAGGAAATCTTGGAAGAAGCACCACACTGCTTCGCCAGAAGACATAAAGGACTTGGCCCCAGGGTCGGCATGGAAGACTTTGTTGGGGATGTCAACTTCCTCCTCCAAGGCTGTGAAGGTGGACCGCATGTAGGTGCAGCGGAACCGCCTTTGATGGGAAACCTCTTCCGCCGTTGGAACACGAGGGATGTCACCGGAATTCATTGCCCAGACTTTGCCAGTGCATGCCCAATGCCCGTATCTAGTCTCTGCTTCGTGGTTTCTGCGGAGGGGTAGCCAGCCACCTCCGACGAACACTTTGACGATATCCTCCATGATTCCTGAATCTCTTTTGCATTCATCAAAGGTGAGGAAGGCTGCATGTATGAAATTGGCACCTTGGACTTGGAATTCTCGCTCCGATTGCAGCATGCCGCACGGAGCGCAACTGAAGGCACTGCCAAAGACAGCTTGCAAGTGATCGACAAAAATCAAAGTTTTTCCGTCATGTCCACATCCAACAACAATGTGCAAGATGTCAGGCTGCCGGACACGGGCCACAACCAGAGCACATTGGTTGAGCAGCACTTGCAATCCATCTGAGCCTGCAAAAGAAGACAAGAGGATGCTGGCGTATCGCTGTCTGGTGGCCATGCTGGGCACAAAGGCGATGGGAGTAGGGATGGCTATGTAACAACCATGACGGGCATCTTTCTGCATTTGTTTCGGGTTGCCATCCACAGTCGAGATGAATGCATCCTGGAAGCAGAGCCCTGGTTGCTGTTTGACCCGTATTTCTTCATCGCCCCAACGTTGGAAGCATTTCACGATGGTCCTGGCGCCAAGCTTACAGGATGGGAAGCTGAACTAGACTAGGGGGAGTAGGACAAAAATTGCGAGTGGTTGAACATGTTCTATTTCTTTCTTCGTGTGGATGATTTGGGGAGTCTTGATGTCCTTGAATGCTCCGCAAATTGGTGCCGGAGCGTCCGACAAAGCTCAGACAGGCCACAGAGCCACTCACGTGCTCTGACTTCAGGTTTCCTCTGAATGATATCCTGAAGTTGCCATTGCAAGAGAACCTCCTCCATACCCACTTGCTGGATGGCTTTGATCTCGAAGACAATGTCATCATAACATCTCTTCGGCTTCATCTGGGCCATTATGGAATAATACGCCTGAGCTCTACGAAGGGCCTGGAGGACGAATTCAAGGTTCACAGATGTCAGGCCACGAGAGGCCGGCGCCCATGCGCCATTGTTGTATTCGAAGAGTTGGCCCCCATGACTGCGGTAGAGATCCCCAGCAACCAAGGCGAAGAGTTTGCAGTGGAGTAGCTCCGACTTGCCATCGTCCGGGCTTGTGTCCAACAACCTTGGCGGAAGGCAGAAGGGTTGTTTGTGAGAATTGCGTCATGCCATGAACCAATGTGACTTTGACTATGATGGGCCTCTACAGCGAAGCTTCTTTGGGAGGGTAAATCTAGCTCAATCGTTAGACTTGTCGAAACAAGGAATGTGGGTGATACCGGTAGGCTGTCGTTTATCGAAGCTTTGGAATTGGCTTGGGGTGCGCGTAGGAAGTTCTTGTATGAAGATCTTGTGAGCTCCTCTTTACAGATCTACATAGAAGGTCCTGCTGCTGCAGTTGCGATGATGCTTAACCTCACCTGTTACTGTTCCATAGCTGCCGTTGCTTGTCTCTGGTACAATGGCTTCCTACCCTGCCAGTCCAAGAGGGATGCATTGCGCCCATCCTGTCATGCCCAATTTGTTTGAATCTCGCATTAAGAATGGGGTGCCCTAGCAGTTGCGCAGAGGATTTCCAAGCAGGTTGTGTTCTTGCATGTTCTTGCAACTTACGTGTTTTGGTTAGGATAGACCTCAAAGAGCAACGAAACCTTTGTTTTTGGCATATGCATAGACGTTTATCATCGCCAGACACATGCAGCATTGGCACCAGCACACAGCATCCAAAGCGCGCAGTCGCGATGCAGCAGCAGCCACCTGCAGCGGCACCAGCACCCAGGCTCCAAACGTGCAGTCTGCACCCTGCAGCAGCACCAGCACCGAAGCTCCAAAGCACAGCTTATGAAAGTTATGTGGGTCCTTCGGTTTTGCTCCGATACTTCGCTGTGACGTACATGGGCCCATTGTTAGGGACATGTTTTTACGGGGCACAATTATGGGTTTTCGTTGGGCGTGGGAAGCCGTTGATACACGCAACACCACCCGATAGAATCCGCATGCATGCAAGTGGCAGAAGCGTGGCCTGAGCTGCTGCTCTATAAGATTTCTGCTGGTCGTCCAGAACTTTGCTTTTCCAACCAAAGGATTGATCGACTCGGTCTCGGAATGCTATGGTTTCTTCTGCCATTGTGGCGGGGCGTTGGCATACATCTTTCTGGATTCTGAGATGGCTTGCATCTTCGAACAGTCGTGGAAGCCATTCCGGGCTCCAATGCCGAAGAATAGATGGCTCATCAGGACCATGCTGTGAGACTGCCGCCGGAACCGACGCAGCATGGAAATGACATTGACTGGGAGGTGCTTGCTGGAAGTCGGGCATTTCGGGCGGATTGATGTCGAGGAGTGCTCGCGCTTGTCCATGCTTCATCATCCAATTTTCCATGTCTTCCGGAAGTGCACGCACGCTTTCCTCTCCGGGAATGCCTGGTGAGTGGCAGAAAAAAATACGATTTCTTTATGTTAGGGCATCTAGATGCGGAAAGGTTGTATTCGCGCCTTCATCTGCTTGCGCCATGTGCTCTGCAACAAGTTGGGACAGCGCTTCGGTGAGGCCTTGCAAAAAGCGTGTGGTGGCCCTAACTTGACTGAAAGTTTGACATGGTTCGACCCGCAAAGTGACGCCCAGCTATGCTTCAAAAATGTTTGAAAGTCACCGTATAGCAAACAGCGAAGGAGTAAGGAACTTTTTTTTTGGTGCATGCCATGTAATCACAGCGCTGTGCTGCTGAACATGTGAACATGTATCATTTCGAAACGAAGCGTATGCCGTATGCCGAAAGCGGTTTCAATGACTTTTCCCATGATTCCAATCAGAAAGGGGAAAAAGTATTGAGGTAAGGCAGGTAACATCCTTTATGCTGTAAAGACATGAAGCTCAGCCGCAGGAAATGCAAATCACATGAGCTATGGTCCTTAATAGAAGGTCTTTTTTGGATGCAAGATCGTTTCCTAAAATGTCCATATCTATTTCTACATATATACATGATATCTATCTATCTATCTATCTATCTGTCTATCTATCTATCTATCTACCTATCTATCTATCTATCTATCTATATCTATCTATCTATCGATCTATCTATCTATCTATCACAACTATATATATATATATACCAATGTACATAGAGAGAGAGAGAGAGATCCAGCTCATGACAAGGATAATATCCAGGGTTCTGAGGCGTTCATGCAGCAAAACATGTGTGGCACGGCCACAGCATCGAAGCGGTGCCAAGAATGGACCTTGAGAAGAAGAGGCGTCGCAGTGGCCACCTGCGAAGCCACATCTGTGGCGATAAGTCCGGCTGTCATGCGTGAAACAGAAAATTGTACATGTGCAGAAATCATATCTGTGAAAGTGAAAAAGTGAAAGGCTAGCGTTAACCTGGAACATTACATCAGCTTCTGGCTTGGATAGGAGGCGGACCAGTGGTGTTGATTTTTGTGGTCATTGAAAAAAACGGGCGTAGACATGACCCAGAAGCGTCCTTGCCTCCCAGCATGCGCCGCGCAGGCTGCGGGTGTCTCAAGGCAGTAAATTAAGTCGGCTTTGTGCCAATGGTAGAGAAGCGGATCTGTGTTCTCTACAACTCGTGGAGGGAAATATCATATATTGTTTTATGCATCGTTCCCCTTATCACGCTTCGATTAATTACACTATTTTATGCATCCTTTGCCTTCTCATGTTGGTTGATCTGTTTGATCCAAAAATATGCGCCCTGCGAATAGTGCACGGGCAAGTGGGAGCACAAAAGAGGTAGCTAGTGCAGAATAAGTCGTCACCACCATGATTGCAGGAAATCCGGCCGTGGTCATGGTAGCGTGTCTTTCGATATGTGCAAACAGATTAATCCATGAAAAACATATAGATACAGTATAAGATATGCTTTTTGATTCAAAGAACAATGCAAATTGTGACTTTATTGTATAGGGTATATTTCTCGGCCTAGGGAAGCCTCTCAATCGCACACTTCTGTGCCAAGAAGCATTTATAAAGGCTTAAGGTTGTTTTGGCGGCATGAAGCCGACAGCAGAGTGGTGGTCTTGTGCACATCGAAAATAGCACTAAAAAGGTCCCCCGCCTCACTATACTCCATTTAAAAAACAACAGAAACCAATACAAAACAACACCATGTACCATAATTTATTCATTTACTCCTCATCGGCTCCATCGGCCTGATCGGCTCCAGCGGCTTGAGCGGCCTCATCGGCCTCATCGGCTCCAGCGGCTCCATCGGCCTCATCGGCTCCATCGGCCTCATCGGCCTCATCGGCTCCATCGGCTCCAGCGGCTCCATCAGCTCCACCGGCCTCATCAGCCTCATCGGCCTCATCAGCTGCAGCGGCCTCATCGGCCTCATCGGCCGCACTAGCCTCATCAGCCTAATCGGCCTCATCGGCTCCAGCGGCCGCATCGGCCTCATCGGCCTCATCGGCCCCACTGGCGCCAGCGGCTCCAGCACCCTCATCGGCTCCAGCGACTCCATCAGCCTCAGCGGCCTCAGCGGCCCCAGCGGCTCCATCGGCTTCTTCATCGGCCTCATCGGCCTCAGCGGCACCATCGGCCTCATCGGCTCCAGCGGCTCCATCGGCCTCATCGGCTCCATCGGCCTCATCGGCCTCATCGGCTTCATCGGCCTCAGCGGCTCCATCGCCTCATCGGCCTCATCGGCCTCATCGGCCTCATCGGCTCCATCGGCCTCATCGGCCTCATCGGCCTCATCGGCTCCATCGGCCTCATCGGCCTCATCGGCCTCATCGGCTCCATCGGCTTCATCGGCCTCATCGGCCAGATCGGCCTCATCGGCCTCATCGGCCTCATCGGCCTCATCGGCTCCAGCGGCTCCATCGGCTCCAGCGGCTCCATCGGCCTCATCGGCCTCATCGGCTTCATCGGCCTCATCGGCCTCATCGGCCTCATCGGCCTCATCGGCCTCATCGGCTTCATCGGCCTCATCGGCCTCATCGGCCTCATCGGCCTCATCGGCCTCATCGGCCTCATCGGCCTCATCGGCCTCATCGGCCTCATCGGCCCCATCGGCCTCATCGGCCTCATCGGCTCCATCGGCCTCATCGGCCTCATCGGCTTCATCGGCCTCATCGGCCTCATCGGCTCCAGCGGCTCCATCGGCCTCATCGGCCTCATCGGCTCCATCGGCCTCATCGGCCTCATCGGCCTCAGCGGCTCCATCGGCCTCATCGGCCTCATCGGCCTCATCGGCCTCATCGGCCTCATCGGCCTCATCGGCCTCATCGGCCTCATCGGCTCCAGCGGCTCCATCGGCTCCAGCGGCTCCATCGGCCTCATCGGCCTCATCGGCCTCATCGGCCTCATCGGCCTCATCGGCCGCATCGGCCTCATCGACCTCATCGGCCTCATCGGCTCCATCGGTTCCATCGGCCTCATCGGCCTCATCGGCCTCATCGGCCTCATCAGCCTCATCGGCTCCATCGGCCTCATCGGCCTCAGCGGCCTCAGCGGCTCCATCGGCCTCATCGGCCTCATCGGCTCCAGCGGCCTCATCGGCTCCATCGGCCTCATCGGCCTCATCGGCCTCATCGGCCTCATCGGCTCCATCGGCCTCATCGGCCTCATCGGCTCCATCGGCCTCATCGGCCTGATCAGCCTCATCGGCCTCATCGGCCTCATCGGCCTCATCGGCCTCATCGGCTCCAGCGGCTCCATCGGCTCCAGCGGCTCATCGGCCTCATCGGCCTCATCGGCCTCATCGGCCTCATCGGCTCCAGCGGCTCCATCGGCTCCAGCGGCTCATCGGCCTCATCGGCCTCATCGGCCTCATCGGCCTCATCGGCCTCATCGGCCTCATCGGCTCCAGCGGCTCCATCGGCTCCAGCGGCTCATCGGCCTCATCGGCCTCATCGGCCTCATCGGCCTCATCGGCCCCATCGGCCTCATCGGCCTCATCGGCCTCATCGGCCTCATCGGCTCCATCGGCCTCATCGGCCTCAGCGACCTCAGCGGCCTCATCGGCCTCATCGGCCTCATCGGCCTCATCGGCCTCATCGGCCTCATCGGCTCCAGCGGCTCCATCGGCTCCAGCGGCTCATCGGCCCCATCGGCCTCATCGGCCTCATCGGCCTCATCGGCCTCATCGGCCTCATCGGCCTCATCGGCTCCAGCGGCTCCATCGGCTCATCGGCCTCATCGGCCCCATCGGCCTCATCGGCCTCATCGGCTCCATCGGCCTCATCGGCTCCAGCGGCTCCATCGGCTCCAGCGGCTCATCGGCCTCATCGGCCTCATCGGCCTCATCGGCCTCATCGGCCTCATCGGCTCCATCGGCCTCATCGGCCTCATCGGCCTCATCGGCCTCATCGGCTCCATCGGCCTCATCGGCCTCAGCGACCTCAGCGGCCTCATCGGCCTCATCGGCCTCATCGGCTTCAGCGGCCTCATCGGCCTCATCGGCCTCATCGGCTCCATCGGCCTCATCGGCCTCATCGGCCTCATCGGCCTCATCGGCTCCAGCGGCTGCATCGGCATGTCTTTCTGGGAAGCCTATTATATGTCCTGAAGCCTGAAGCATGCGGAATCAGTTGCGTCCATTTTGCGCCTGTGGTTTGCTTCGATGCCTTTTGATTAGTATTGATCATTGATCCATAGCCTCTTGGCTTGCGATATAGCCTCCAAGTGCCGAATGTACGGAGGGGGGGGGCCTGGGAGGCTGCATCATATATTATATACCCGTCTGACACAGATCTGTCCGGTTGCTCCCAGTTCTAAATTTTCGCGCTTCGGCACCAATTGTAGTGAAAGACGTTTTTCCCCAAACAGTGTGTCCACACTGAGGGGTTCTTACGGTAGGAACAAAAGCCGGTGCTCGATCAGGGTGATCACTTTGGGCCGCGTCCCTGTAAATTTCTGTGTGAAGTGGCTCTTGTGAAATTTTGACATGCGTCGCGATTGCGAAGGCTCGCGCCAAGTCTGCAGCGCAGTTTTGGTCTGCGGCATTTTACGTGTAAATTTCCCTCGGAAGTGGCTCTTGTGAAGTCTTGACATGCGTTTCGACTGCGCAGGCCCGCACAAAGTGTGAGTCCGCGTTCTGGGCCCAATATGGGCCGTGGCATTTTTCCCGTAAATTTCTGCATCAATTGGCTCTTCTGATGTCTCTTGTGACATGTGGACATGCATTTCGATTGCGCAGGTTTGCACAAAGTGTGTGTCCGCGTTCTGGGCCCAATCTGGGCCGCGGCATTTTTCCCGTAAATTTATGTATAAAGTGGCTCTTCTGATGACTCTTGTGACATGTGGACATGCATTTCGATGCGCAAGCTCGCACAAAGTGTGTGTGTCCACGTTCTGGGCCCAATCTGGGCCGCGACAATTTTCAACATCATCATTGGCATCATTGTCATCATTGTCATCATTGTCAAACTTGTCATCATCATCATCATCACCACCATCATCATCACCATCATCATCATCATCATCATTTTCATCATCCTCGTCATCATAATCCTCCACCTTTTCATCCTGTCTTCTCCTGTTGTTTCGGCTCACAGTTTCTTTCAAGCAATCGTGTTGCGTTACATCTTTTGTTCATGAACAATATTGTATTGTTCCCCAAACAATGTGTCCACACTGAGGGGTTCTTACGGTAGGAGCAAAGGCCGGTGCTTGAACAGGGTGCTCACTCTGGGCCCCGGCATTTTACCTGTAATTTTCCGTATGCGGTTGCTCTTTTGAAATCTTGACATGCGTTTCGACTGCGCAGGCTCGCACAAAGTCTGCGGCGCGGTTTTGGCCTTCGGCATTTTACCTGTAAATTTCTGTATAAAGTGGCTCTTGCGAAATCTTGACATGTGTTTCGACTGCGGACGCTCGCACAAAGTCTGCGGCGCGGTTTTGGTCTGCGGCATTTTACTTGTAAATTTCGTAAAAAAGTGGCTCTTGTGAAATCTTGACATGCGTTTCGACTGCGCAGGCTCGCAAGCACAAAGTGTGTCATCATCATCGTCATCATCATCATCATCCTCATCGTTGTCGTCATCATCATCCTCCTCGTTGTCGTCATCATCATCGTCGTCGTCGTCGTCATCATCGTCATGATGATCATCATCATCATCAACATCATCATCATCATCATCATCCTCGGCATCATCATCATTATCAGCATCATCGTCATCATCATCTTCATCAGCATCATCTCATCATCATCACCACCACCATCATCATCAACATCATCCTATCCATCACCATATCCCTCACCAGCATCATATTCCTCACCGTCATCGATATCATCATCATCATCATCATCATCACCATCACCATCACCATCACCATCATCATCATCATCATCATCATCATCATCTTTCCTCCTCGACATCATGATCATCCTCCTTCTCTACATCATCATCCTTCACCTTCTCATCCTCCACTTCATCTTCCGCATCATCATCATCACCACCATCATCACCATCATCATCACCATCATCATCAGCATCCTCATTTTTTTTTAATCATCACCATCATCATCACCATCATCGTCATACATTATCCTCCCACTCCCCCACACTGTTTAGGGTCTCTTGCCGGTATATTATTGTCGCACATCGAAAATGTACCTGGGCCGCTCTTGGGCGTGCTTGTTTGAACTATTTTTGTCAACGTTGGACGGTATTTGGCAACAGCGGGGCAGGTTTGCCAGCATACACTCAGACACATCGACGTGTGGACGAAAACAAAAACAGTGACAACTATAACTAATAAGATATGGTGGCCGTTTATGTGTATTGAAAAAGAACATGTTGTCAGCTTTGGGCCTGAATGCAGCACAGGTTCGTAGTAGGTGGCTTTGCCAAGTTAGTTTTCCTCTCGCAATGGTTAGCTGCTTTGGCTCAACCGGCGGTTGGTGAAGCCGGCTGGGCAGTCATGGATGAGGTCCCTTCGCTGCATGACTCAAAACGTAAAGCGTGATTATGGTTAGATTGTTCCCATCTGTCCGCACAGGTGGTGAAGACAGCTGTGGAAGGGTTGTCCGAAAATTCCAATTTTGTGCCGAGCCTCGTTTGCACGAAGAACCTGTCGATTCGGAAACTTGGTTCTCTTTCTTTTCCCTTCATGTGCCTTGTGCTACCTCAGGGTGGACAAGATCAAGGGCGACGCGAAGGCCAGTGTGAAGTTTCACAAACCGATTTGATGTCCAAATATTTGAAAACCAAAGTTAACAAGATGGACTTCCACTTTATTATGCGTTCAAATTGTTCACACTTTTGGTGGTTCCTACAGTTCAGGTTCGTTCTTATTTCCGCCGCGTGCTTTTCAAACCACCATGGGAAAATCCAGTCTGGGTCAAGAGCTGAGCTTGTGTCAAAACCAATGCGAGAGTGGTGTGAGAGTGCCACATTTCGCAAAAGTTTACTTCTGAGGTTACATACTTCCAGAGTAGACCGGCCGACTGGGAGTTCGCAGAGAACTTAGTTTCGACATTGGGTTTGTTTGTGCTTGGAATTGGTGGGACGGGCCATTGTCCGTTTTTTGGGACAACTTTGGCTGCAGCTGAATATGATTCAGGATGAAAGGACCATGGGTGTGAAAGTCAAGTCAGAGCTCTCCGCGCAGATTGAGGTAGCAGAGTTGGTGGTGTTGGGCATTGGTTCACAATGATCACCTGCTGCACGCATGGTGCAACCTTGTGTGCAGGCTACAGCGCGTCACAAGCGCAAGACTGCATCTTTTCCGGAGGCTGGGCGGCGATTTTCCGCAATTTCAATGCTATGTAGCTTTTCACTACTGGGTTTGTTTGACGCACGAAACATTGTTGCCTCCAAATGGGCAGGCTTTATACAGTGCTGTCCTTCGTGCTGGCACGCCAGTGGACACGTCCACAGTTGTTGCGAATGCCAAAGATAGCGAGGCGGTCAGTAATTCTTTCCCCATTGGAGGGGTTCATTTGAGGCCGTCATTGATGAAACTTGATGAAACAAATCAAAATCAAATGTCAGATGTCCTTTACAGCCGACGATGTCTGCAGTACTTTGACAGTTGGTTTCTGGGCAGATTGCAGCATTGCCAATCGATGCCATTGAAGCGCTCCTTGGTTCCTTGGGCAACAAGCCCGAGGCCATGGTGGCCGCCCGTGTGGAATTCGATGTAACATGGGTCAGAGGTGTACCCTAAATGGGAGGTTTGATAGGGAAACTGATGATTAATCAGTGGAGAAGTTGTCCAGTTTTGCAGACAACTCCCCGTGTTTTTCTTGTCTTGCATGAACATTGGCAACTTCTGATTCAGGTGTCACTTTCTGGGAATGGAAATGGGGTTGATTCATGTTGATTCGAGTTGCAATCGAGAGAAAAGGTTTCTGAAACCGGTTTTGTGTTGCTAGCATCCTGGTAGTATGATCCCTCAGCATGGATGTGCCAAGTTGATTGCAGGACCCGGCCGGAATGGCATTGGCCAAGCACATGGATGCATGTGTTTGGAACCCAATTGAGGGATTGGTGTAAAGTGGAAACTGAGGCTAGGGTGTAGGAGAAGCCTAATGTGTTTGGAGCCTTCCCTAGACCATTTGCTGAGCCCATGGTAATCCTTGCTGTTTGCATTCTAACGTGTCTAGGTGGGTCCGGCAGGTAGATGTTTTTGTCCACCTGTATTTTGTGCACATGATGTATATCTAGATGTATGTATACATAGTGACTGTGCATAGGCCATCATCCAAACATATGCAGGCCTGTAGTGTACGATCACACATACATGCATGCATGCATGCGCACATATATAGCAACATACAAACATACAAACATAGAACATAGAAACATAGAAGCATACATACACACAGACAGACAGGCAGACAGACATACATACAGACTGACTGACAGACATACATACATACAGACTGACAGACATACATAATCACACATACATCCACACACACACATACATGCATGCATGCACGCACGCACGCACGCACGCATACATTACATTACATTACGTTACGTTACGTTACGTTACATTACATTACATTACATACATTACATACATTACATTACATACATTACATACATTACATACATTACATACATTACATACATTACATACATTACATACATTACATACATTACATACATTACATACATTACATACATTACATACATACAGACATACAGACAGACAGACGGACGGACGGACGGACGGACGGACAGACGGACGGACGGACGGACGGACGGATGGACGGACGGACGGACGGACGGACCGACGGACGGACGGACGGACGGACGGACGGACGGACGGACAGACAGACAGACACACACACATACACACATACACACACACACATGCAAACACACATGCACACATACACACATACGTACACACACGCACACATACATACACACACACATACACACACACACACACGGACACACATCCATACATCCATACATCCATACATCCATACATCCATACATCCATACATCCATACATCCATACATCCATACATCCATACATCCATACATCCATACATCCATACATCCATACATCCAACCACACATCCATACAGTCAATCCACATGCACATTTACATATACATACATGCATACATATACAGATACATATACATACACACACACAGATACATACATACATACAGACAACCAGACATGACAAGACAAGACAAGACAGGACAGGACAATACAATACAATACATCACATCACATTACATTACATTAGATTAGATTACATTACATTACATTACATTACATTGCCATACATACATACATGCATACATGCATGCATGCATACATACACACATACAGATACACACACACATATATATATATATAGGCACACATACTTGAGCAGAGCACCCACACACGCCAACCCATCTGGCAGTCTTTCCATATCTTTCCAGCCGGGCCTTTTAGGTGAAGGTGATTGCAGCAGTCCCTGGTGCTCTCGAGAAGAAGGCTCATGCACATTGGCCAGCATGATATCTCAGCTGTCATCACTGTGCCGCCCCATTTTGGGCCATTCGTGAACTATTCTGGCATTGCTGATTATCTGCAATGTATACAGCATTTGGTTCAAGATGAAATTCCACCCTCCTTGGATTTTATTCTTCCTAGGTTTCCTAGCCCTTTGTAGACTGGATAGTTGCCCTGAGTCAGCCTGACCCACTGCCAGGGCGCAGCACTAAGTGGGGGCCCTGGCTATTTTGGTCGCAGCGTCTCGAATCGACCCAGCTGACTGGAACCAGTTGCTGTGCCAAGGCGACATCATGAGATTCTTCGACATGGTGCTCAAGTTTCATGCAGACAGTGTGAAGCGCTTGGTGATCATTTACGTGAAGATGCTTTATCCAGCCCAAAATGGCCGATGCAGCAAAGAGTTAGCATATTCTAGAGAGGAGTTGATATGGAATCAAAATACATGCGCGAAAGTCATTGGATCCCAGTTTTAGTTTCCAAGTGCCAGCAGGGCCTTCAAACCTGCAAACTTGGCGGCACTAAGACTGAAGCGCGATTAACTACTCAGCGCATTTTGACTTTGAAGGAGTTGTGCGAGGCCAGGGCCGCACAGATAGCTTTGTAAGCAGTGGCATATCTCCGATAAGAATCGAGACTGATGAAGTGATTTACGCGTGATTTATGTGTGATTTACGTGTGATTTACCTGGTGGACAGATGCTGACAAACTCTTTGTGATGTTCGTACCTGTCGCTGAAATGAGTTCAGTTAAGCCATCCCTTTCGAAGGGGATCATTGCACCTTCTAGTCCGGAACATGGTGTGCAGGCAGCTGCGTTTCAGATTCGGTCAAAGGGTGTGGGGAACACCGGCACAAAGGCTGGGCTGACAGATTTGGGTAATGCCAGATGAATGATAGACTACACATGGAATCACATTGCAGCACATAACCAGCTGTGACAGTGTCTCGCCCCATTCTGCCCCGAGGCATGAACGGTTGGAAAGATATCAATGATCTGGGGTTGATGACACTACTCAATCTTGACTTATTTTAGCAACGGGTGGTTGCTGCATGCGATACGAGGCTCTTGGCCTCCTTTGCTCTACTGCGCCTTTCCACATCATGGCCCTGGCAATGGCAGGAGAGGGGTGGTATTGTACTGGCGAAAGTTGTTGGTAGCTGTTTGGATTTGGGGTGTCGAATGTAGATGTAGAGAAAGGGGTGCGTTCGTGTCATGTGAGCATGAAAGTTCGCCAGGCTTGGGCGACAAAGGCGAGGGCGATGATGTAAAAGCCTGCGAATGAGCCTCAAACAGGGTCCATGCGGCCGTGCTGCACGCCTGGCATGACATGTGCCTACGAGGAACTGTGATAAGGCAGTGATGCATGTGCCAAGGCAAATTTTATCGAGAGAGTGTCTCCTGCCATCCTTGAAGCGTTGCCTGCGGAGTGAGGAGCTCATGTATTTGGGATTGCTTGAGAGTTTGTCCAGGCTGTGGTTTCAACGTGTCAAAGTGAGAGAGAGAGAGAGAGTTGTAGTGTAGTCCGAAATATTACATAGTGTTATACATACGTATATATGTTATAGTGTATTGATATTCTATTCATGTTAAGACCCGCCATATGCAGCCATGCCATTGGCTGGCACCGATGGTGCGATTGCCTTCGGCCTTCATCACCTTTTCTCGTCAAGTTCCCATGGCTGGAGAAAGGTCCGACTATTTCTCCCATAATTGGCGAAAGTCATGCGCTATGAAGCCTCGATAAATATATCTCAAACAAGAATACACATGTAAGTCTATCTATCTATCTATCTTATCTTGTCTTATCTTATCTATCTTATCTATCTTATCTATCCTATCTATCCTATCTATACTATCTATCCTATCTATCCCATCTATCCTACCGATCCTATCGATCCTATCGATCCTATCGATCCTATCGATCCTATCGATCCTATCCATCCCATCGATCCTTTCGATCCTATCGATCCTATCGATCCTATCGATCCTATCGATCCTATCGATCCTATCGATCCTATCGATCCTATCGATCCTATCGATCCTATCGATCCTATCGATCCTATCGATCCTATCGATCCTATCGATCCTATCGATCCTATCGATCCTATCTATCTATCCTATCTATCTATCTATCCATCCATCCATCCATCCAATCTATCTATCTGTCTATCTATCTATCTATCCTTTCTATCCTTTCTATCCTTTCTATCCTTTCTATCCTTTCTATCCTTTCTATCCTTTCTATCCTTTCTATCCTTTCTATCCTTTCTATCCTTTCTATCCTATCTATCCTATCTATCCTATCTATCCTATCTATCCTATCTATCCTATCTATCCTATCTATCCTATCTATCCTATCTATCCTATCTATCCTATCTATCCTATCTATCTATCTATCTATCTATCCTATCTATCCTATCCATCCTATCTATCCTATCGATCCTATCTATCCTATCTATCCTTTCTATCCTATCTATCCTTTCTATCCTATCTATCCTATCTATCCTATCTATCCTATCTATCCTATCTATCCTATCTATCCTATCTATCCTATCTATCCTATCTATCCTATCTATCCTATCTATCCTATCTATCCTATCTATCCTATCTATCCTATCTTTCCTATCTATCCTATCTATCCTATCTATCCTATCTATCCTATCTATCCTATATATCCTATCTATCCTATCGATCGATCTCGCGATCTATCGATCTAATCGATCTAATATCGATCTATCGATCTATCTATCTATCGATCTGTCTATCTATCTACCTATATCTATCTACCGATTTATCTATCCATCTATCTATCGATCGATCGATCGATCTATTTATCTATATATCTATTGATCGATCTATCTGTCTATCTATCGATCTATCGATCTATCGATCTATCGATCGATCGATCTATCTATATATCTATCGATCTATCGATCTATCGATCGATCTATCTATCTATCGATCTATCGATCTATCTATCTATCTATCTATCTATCTATCGATCTATCGATCTATCGATCTATCGATTTATCAATCTATCGATCTATCGACCTATCGATCTATCGATCTATCTATCTATCGATCTGTCTATCTATCTACCTATATCTATCTACCGATTTATCTATCCATCTATCTATCGATCGATCGATCGATCTATTTATCTATATATCTATTGATCGATCTATCTGTCTATCTATCGATCTATCGATCTATCGATCTATCGATCGATCGATCTATCTATATATCTATCGATCTATCGATCTATCGATCGATCTATCTATCTATCGATCTATCGATCGATCTATCTATCTATCGATCTATCGATTTATCTATCTATCTATCGATCTATCGATCTCTCGATCTATCGATCTATCGACCTATCGATCTATCGATCTATCGATCTATCGATCTATCGATCTGTCTATCTATCGATCTATCTATCTATCGATCTATCTATCGATCTATCTATCGATCTATCTATCTATCTATCGATCTATCTACCTATCGATCTATCTATCGATCTATCTATCTATCTATCGATATATCTATCGATCGATCGATCTATCTATGTATCTATCTATCGATCTATCCATCTACCTATCGATCTATCTATCTATCTATCGATCTATCTATCGATCTACCTATCTATCTATCGATCTATCGACCTATCGATCTATCGGTCTATCGATCTATCTATCTATCGATCTGAGTCTATCTATCTACCTATCTATATCGATTTATCTATCTATCTATCTATCGATCAATGGATCGATCTATCTATCTATATATCTATCTATCGATCTATCGATCTATCTATCGATCGATCGATCTATCTATCTATCTATCGATCTATCTATTTATCTATCTATCGATCGATCGATCTATCTATATATCTATCTCTCGATCTATCGATCTATCGATCTATCGACCTATCGATCTATCGATCTATCGATCTATCGATCTATCGATCTGTCTATCTATCGATCTATCTATCTATCGATCTATCTATCGATCTATCGATCGATCTATCTAATTATCTATCGATCTATCTACCTATCGATCTATCTATCGATCTATCTATCTATCTATCGATATATCTATCGATCGATCGATCTATCTATTTATCGATCTATCGATCTATCCATCTACCTATCGATCTATCTATCTATCTATCGATCTATCTATCTATCGATCTATCTATCGATCTATCTATCTATCTATCGATCTATCGATCTATCGATCTATCGATTTATCAATCTATCGATCTATCGACCTATCGATCTATCGATCTATCTATCTATCGATCTGTCTATCTATCTACCTATATCTATCTACCGATTTATCTATCCATCTATCTATCGATCGATCGATCGATCTATTTATCTATATATCTATCGATCGATCTATCTGTCTATCTATCGATCTATCGATCTATCGATCTATCGATCGATCTATCTATCTATATATCTATCGATCTATCGATCTATCGATCGATCTATCTATCTATCGATCTATCGATTTATCTATCTATCTATCGATCTATCGATCTATCGATCTATCGATTTATCTATCTATCGATCTATCGACCTATCGATCTATCGATCTATCGATCTATCGATCGATCTATCTATCTATATATCTATCTATCGATCTATCGATCTATCGATCGATCTATCGATCTATCGATCTATCGATCTATCTATCTATCTATCGATCTATCGATCTATCGATCTATCGATCTATCGATCTATCGACCTATCGATCTATCGATCTATCGATCTATCGATCTATCGATCTATCGATCGATCTATCTATCTATATATCTATCGATCTATCGATCTATCGATCGATCTATCTATCTATCGATCTATCGATCTATCTATCTATCTATCGATCTATCGATCTATCGATCTATCGATTTATCAATCTATCGATCTATCGACCTATCGATCTATCGATCTATCTATCTATCGATCTGTCTATCTATCTACCTATATCTATCTACCGATTTATCTATCCATCTATCTATCGATCGATCGATCGATCTATTTATCTATATATCTATCGATCGATCTATCTGTCTATCTATCGATCTATCGATCTATCGATCTATCGATCGATCTATCTATCTATATATCTATCGATCTATCGATCTATCGATCGATCTATCTATCTATCGATCTATCGATTTATCTATCTGTATTTGCCTATGTATAGATATATACTATACATATAGTACGCATATTCATGCTGGCCCCCATGGGATATCCTGGGATCCGAGGCACCTGCTGAAGCTCGCTGAGGCATGTGCCAAGTGGGGGCCCCAATTAGCAGAGGGGCATGGTCAGATTCGGTCAGATGGGTGGACCTATCTTGTGTGATATATACACATACTTATATAGCCTCTGGTAATCACGCATGGCAATTGAAAATCCCATATACATTGAGGTTTTAATGGGAACATCAACTATAAATGGGGAGCTTTCCATTGCCATGTTTGATTACCGGAGGGTATACATACTGTATATGCTACATACAAATCTAGTGTATGTATATATATATTATATGATTATCCAAATGACATATGATGCCTTTATACGCAACATTGGATAATGTGTCCATATGATGATATGGGGTATGACTTTCTCTTAACATGGCTGTATTTCTTGAGAGAGAGTCATACTGGATTTGGATCATGACCTGTGTGTGGCCATGTCTTGAGTCGAAGGTCCCAAGATGATTTGCACTGATTTGCTACGCGGTATGGGTATGTCACAAAGTTAGAGATGCTGAGGGATGGTCTGAGAGAACTACCCCATGTGGCTCCTGGGTTCACAGATTTGAGGTCCAAGGCGGTCGCCGAAACGATCTTACCGACGGTAAGCAAAGCCTGTTCTGCAGCAGCTTGGCAGAAAATCCGTGAGTGTCCCCTGTGCAAGATCTAGCTAGTTTATTGAAAAAAATAATGCATTATATTGCATTCATTTTATTCATTTTATTCCATTGATTATCATTGCCAAATGTTACACTTGACTTGTTCGTGACTGGCCACGTCTGAGGCGCTACCAAGCTGGTCCATGGATGATGTGTCCAAGCTTCTCTTTACTTTGGCCAAGGTCGAGTAGGGCAGAACGAAATGGAAGGCAACCATCACCCAGACTTGAGACAAAGACTTGACCCTACTTCTAGCATCAAATTCCGCTTTGTTTCCTCTTCCTTTCTTTATTCATTTTGTTCATTCCATTTCATTTCCCCAGTCGTGGCAACAACCCAGAACTGACCCTTTGTGGCTGCAGCTCCCAGGTGAAAGTCGCTGACAGCTCCGAGTTGGCAGAGCTCTACAGCCGTGCTGCTGAGGCCGGGCTGTGGTGGATGGCCCAACTGTCCCGGTTGTATTGTTTCAAATATGTTTACGGTACATCTTGGAAAAAACATGGTTTCGGGGGGTGTTTAATATTAAGGGTGGATTTTAACTGGTTGGTGGTTGTATTTTTTAATTATTGTAATAGACATGATCCGCAATCACCTACTTTGTTGGGGGATGGGTTGGGAACATCAACCGGCTAAGCACGCATCAGCAGTTGAAGCTTGCAGATGATACTCATGTGCACAGGTTGCTTCTGCCAACCTTTCCAGTGGCTTTGATGCATCCAGTGAAGTCTATGGGAGAGGGGCGCTTTCTGGGAATCGAAAGGGCTCTTTTTGGCGCTTGGCTTTCAGAATTCAAGCAGCTTCTCCCAAGCTTATTATTCTGATGGCTCATGCTTTGCTAGATGCGCAGTGTCAAGGAGCTTATTTACGTAGCACAGGGAGAGCCCGTAGATTGGAGGATTGATTTCTGCTCGTTGTCGAAATAAGTAGTGCAGCAGAGCATCATGGGACAGATCCATCAAAGGTATTACTAAACCTCAGATGCTTGTCCAAATGCATCCTCATGCAGCACTTGAGCATCAGACGGCATGGGGCTCACAGAACACCAACAAAATACCAATCTTTGTGCATGAATCCTCAGGAAGGGATTGCCGCAGAAAGCGCGCTGAAACAAGAACAAAGAAGGACAACAGGTTAAAGCACATGCAACCTACTTGCAGAAGCCATATGGACGTTTCAAAGAAGTTCTGGTTTCCATATTCTGATGACATTTTCATGGCTGTGAATGGCACCAAAGAACGGCTCACCAAAGAAGCCGTGCGGAGGGAGCTGGCAGCAGAGGCTGCTGAGGCACAAATCGCCAAGGCCCTGGAAGCCAAAGATGCGCTGGAGAGACAAGCACGTGCCAATGCTGCATGTGCCATTGCTGCCGTGGAAGAGAGGAAAAAGAGGGACCAGGAAAGACATGGATTGGAACTGGCTTTGGCACAAGAGACTTTGGATGAAGCCAAGCGACAGAGCCATGCTCGCATCCAAGCAGCAGAGGCCACTTTATTAAAGGCCAGGGAAGAGGGACGTGCTCGTGTGGAAGTGGCTGAGCAGCGGAAGCAGCAGGCCATTCAGCTGGCGAAGGATGTGGCGCAGGAGTCCGAGACCCTCAGCCAGGCGCGGATAGAAGATGCCAAGCGTCGCACCGAAGAGATGGAGGCTTGGGTGCAGCAGCAGGCCAGGGAAGCCTAGGGAAGCTGGGACACTTGGGACCAACCGATAATCCGATAGTCATGGACAATGCACACAGACCAGACTTTCAATCCATTTTGAGCACTCCCTTGTTTGCTCTTTGTCTGTACCGAAAAAATCAGACATAGCTGACATAGAAAGATGGTGTTCTTTTGGTTGTTTCACCGTCGGTTATCGGTCAGGTGATAGATGCTGAGAAGCGTCAGGCATCTCAGCTGCGAGAGGCTGAAGATCGAGCAGCCCATGTGGAGAAGGAAGCGCAACTTAGGGTAGAAGCCACCAAGCAAGCAGCAGTCACAATCATTGAGAAGCAGGTCCAGGAGTTGCAACTCTGGGTGTCTCAGACTGAAGATGAAATCCTGAGAACACAACAACGCCTTGAGATTGAACAGGTGAAGGCGCAAAAGATGATAGGCAAAATATACTCCATGGCTGAGAACCTTCAGCATCGTGGTGAAGCCTGTCAGCAGCAGGCAGAGGACATGTTGGTTGAGACAGGTGCGGAGGTGGCCCAAATGATTGCCGAGTACCACCAGTGGCGAGCAGAGGAGATGGAGTACATCGCCTGCCAGGTGCAACTTTACCGGTGAAAAACGGCAAGTTGGATCAGGTATATAGTATATAGCTTTCCACCGAAATTTGGCCATAGATTCATAGATATTATGGGGCAAGTGATGGCTAATATCAGATGGCAAATACATGCAAATACCCCCCACCGAAGAGCTAAGGAGCCCCAGTTACCCCCAAATCAATACAGTGTATTGTACATAATAATGCAAAGTTAACCTCCAGTTCTCCAACAAAAAAACACTTGCACTCCCATTCATTATGATTTGTTGCCCTTCAAGTCATTGCCATGTTTTGATCAGGGGACAGGGTGATCCATGTTCCATGGCAGGCTGATGGCCTTCAAGGCTTAGAGGATTTTGTGGCGCGCTTGAGAACGGAGAAGCCGCTGGAAGATGGAGCAGTCAACCCAGGCTGAATGTTGGCTGAAGATTCATTTGCTATTCATCTGTCATTGGTTTGGATATTCATAGGCTATTAAAAAGCTAGACAGGCCACACCACAAATAGTAACAAATGGAAGCTCACGGCTCAGTAGCATTTTTAGCTATGTATTTGTTGTATGATTGACTGCATTGCTATTGGCTAATGGGATTAAACGATCAGAATCCATTGCTGGTTGGGAGATCCAAACGAGAATTTGACTGCTGCTAGACAGGGTGTACGGTAGCCGCTATGTGCTTCCCGTTGTGTCACAAATCTTTAGCGTTTAGAGTTTGGGGGATGGGGAAAACCTTCACGTGTCTCTGCCGTTTCACGACTTCGGCTTGACGGCTTGAATAGCAAGCCACGAAAATAGCAGCTTACCGCTTGCCGGCTGCACGGGAGGATTTTACATTTGCCGTAGCATTGCCCTTCTAAGAAACGCCTTGCTCAGCTCCTTTTGTGCCCTGCAGACTATTGGACAAAGACGTGCTTTCTATTGCCGTCTATTTGATCAGATTGAGCTTTTTTTTGCACTTGTGCCATTGCCTTCTTGTGCTCCCAATGTTTCCGGTTTAGTTCGGCTCAATGTGCGGAAGGTATCACGCAGAGCAGGACCAAGCCTAGATACAGCATTTATAAGAAGACTTATAACACCGGAGATGCAATTAAAAAATGGATGCAGGGGATCGAAACATCTAGAGAAGATATTCAAGAAAGCCCCAACCATAATTTTTTTCTCCAGCCATGTTCCGCAAGATGAGACAAAGTCAACGAGCTCGGCGAAGCGCCGCTGCGCTTCCTTTGCTGCTGCTGAGCCAAGTCGCAACTGTGACGTTTCTGGGGAATCCCTTCAGGGCAGGTACACCAAAGACGCCTGGAGGCTCGGCAGAGAATCTAGGTATGGACTTTGCATCTGCAGAACGACAAGAGCTTCTAGCAGACATGGAAAGGCATTGGTCCGCGTTGGAGCAGAGACTGAGAACAGAGACCTATCCTGCAATGGTCGATGACCCCTACTTCACTGTCAATGTGAAGGGGCTGCTCCAGCGTTACCTCGCTGCTTCAAAGTATGACGTGAGGGAGGCTTTGATTCGCCTGGAGGCCACTGCCAAGTGGAGAAAGGAGTGGAACGTGTTGGATTACTACAGGGCAGGTGCCGCAGCTGAGCTCTTCTCAGAGGACTCCAATCCCGGAGCTGAGATGTACTTCGCAGACTCGCTGTTGATGGATAAGGAAGGACGGCCCTACGCAGCAGGACGCTTGAAATTTGCCAACCCTGAGAACATGCATCCATGGCACCATTTGCGAGCTGGTGTGCTTGTTTTTGAGCTCATGGCCACCAAGGTGGCTTCCATGGGGAAAGGTCCTGGCTCTTATATCTTGGACATTGGAGCAGTGGGGAAGGTTGGAAACGTCAGTGGCACTGCAGGCCACGAACGTGTCTACAATGAAAACCGAAATCCCTACTATGCTGCTGGTGCTGGCACCAAGGATGCACCTTCTGATGAGGTCCTAGGTGAGCTGGGTAGCCTGGACAATGGTTTTGCAGTGCTCAAGGCTGCCATTACCATCCTGAACCGACATTACCCGGGCATTGTGGGCCGTGTCTTCTACTTGAACAGCGACATGGTGTTCTGGGGAGCCTTTAAGATCTTCTCCAGATGGATTTCGGACCGTGGCTCCATTGACTTCCAGTTCTTGGGCCCAGCCTCATGGAGGGAAGATCCTGTGTCCAAGCTGTTGGACTACTACGAACCAAATCAGCTTCCGGAAGAATGGGGTGGCACCGGCCCAAGGCTCAATGGCGATGAGTTTATGCAACGGGCCATTGAACATTATGAAGAAGAAGCCATGGCAATGGAACTCGTTGGCGCAGCGCCATAGAGGGCGCTGCTTCTGCCCGAGGCCTGTGACATGGCTGTGGTTTGCAGGTTGTAGCGCTGCGTGAGGACAGAAGTTTCTGATCAAAGATCAGAATTTTGATGGCATCGCGGCATCACACTTTTTTTTAGGCTGTAGCCTGCAACTGCAAATTTTCGGGCCAATGGAAGGATTTTCCTCAATTCTACATTCTTGATCACTTCCATTGCAGACCGCAGGGGAGGTTTGACTGCACGGGCCGAAAAAGGCTTGCCGCATGTGCGCCAAACTTGTGAGACCCGTCTGTGCGATGGTCAAGAGATGGATTATCAATTCATGAATAGGGATTTATATGCCCACGATACGGCTTCTCATTAAAGGATGGATGACCATACTGCATATGCTGTACCATCTTGCCCTGGCACATTTTCTAAATTCATTCAAGGCTTGTCAGAGACGCAGCTCGTCAAGGTGGGGTTTGATGTCGGAGCAGAGGCCACTTCATTTCATGTGTGTAGTGTATATGGTAAATGAGGAGGTAGGAACGGTGGGAACTTGAAAGTTCACGGTCAGTACGGATACAAATGCAAAATGGACGGAATATTTTATATCAGGTAGGCCAGGTAGGCACTTTACAGACTGATTTCGGGCATTGTCCGAGCTTGTGCTCTGGCAGGTGGTGCTGACTCTTAGCAGGGTACCGGCTTCCAAGGACAGCTTCGCTTGGGATAGCAGTGGTAACAGATAGGGTCCATCAAGGCTACCCGGCTACCTCGAAACCTCATGGCTTGTGAGGAGTTTGTGTCTACTGCTGCTGGTGAAGTGGCTGGGTGCTCAGAGCTGGTGTTTCTGCCCCAGGCGGCATGGATTCCATGGAGCTAGACGTGGGCCATGTGTTTTGGACATGTTTTTCCATTGATTTCCCATGAGATTCTAGTCCCCTGCTTTGTCCGATCAAGTCTGTCGTTGAATATCATGATTTCTTTCGCTGCACCGGAACTGGGTCGACTGGGTTGACTGGGTTGAGGTGAACAAGATGTCCACTATAGCAGCTCCTCAACTCTTGCTCCTTACGCAGGGCATGGCCAGCCTAGGCCGGAAGGGATCGGAAGGACATGGCCAGACTTTTTTGTGAACTGCTTCCAGCTCCGACCAGGCTCCAGCGATGCTTCTCTGATGAAAGTGGCCGTGTCCCAAGATGAGGACCCCGCTAACAGTCCCGGCTCTTGGAAACTGGAAAAGGTAGGATTCAAAAATGGCAGCATGTGATTCTTGCATCATCTTGGCTTCAGAGTTGACTGCTTGGTTCCACCCAGCACTGCACCCAGGCATCCCGTCAACACTACATCAAATCCCCTGAATTTCAAAAGTTTCTGATCGTATTGAATTTCAATAGCTCTCTTTTCATGCTAGCCGCCATCATCATCATCATCATCATCATCATCACACCCATCATCATCATCATCACACCCATCATCATCATCATCATCATCATCATCATCATCCTCATCGTCATCGTCATCGTCATCGTCATCTCTATCTATCTATCGATCTATCATGATCTATCTATCTGTTTATTTATCTATCTATCTATCTCTCTCTCTCTCTCCCTCTCGCTCTCTCTCTCTCTATTGCAATCTATATGTACATATATATATACACAGTTTAAGTATAATCATATAGATATATACATACACATTATATTGAGTCGTTGAGGTGGACTATTGGGCCACAGATGAGAAAGCCAAGCAGCTCTCAGCAGACCAATTGGCAAAACTCTCACAGGTGCTGCGGCTGGATTGGTTGCATTTGAATTCAGGTATACGGTAGGTATATGCTCTAGGAACCTAACATGGCAGCGGATTTGGTGTGTTTGCAGATTTTCCCCAAACAAATGTAAAGTTTGGGCGATTTTCCCTTGCCATGTTTGATTACCGGAGGGTATTTAAATGCTACCATGTCTTGCGGTTGGGTCTCAAAATCATCCCTCTTCAAAACTGATTCTGCAAGGTCCTCGCACCAGTGGTGACCGAACCTCAGTTTTTCACAGTTTTAGTATGACTGTGATTTTCGATATCATGGAAGGCCTGGCAGAACAGATGCGGTCTGCGGGCCTGGTACGGATGTGAGGCCTGCCCATGAAGGCCTATGGAAGATGGCTGGTCCCAGACTCTTGGAGCAAAAGTCCTCCCTGACGGATGCGGGGAAAGCATCTGACCCTCGGATCGCACGATGTTCTCCTGGGAGAGTTCCCCCGACGGTTCTTCCTTTGCGTGCTACCAGTGCACCAGTTGCAATTTAGGCCTCATAGGATATCTAGCAAAGTTTAGTGGAAGCATTGTGCCCTCTGCGTGGAATTCAGAGCAAGCGCATACGGTAGCATGGGCACCTGTTGACACATGGAGAACTTGGCAGGTGGTGGCTGCTTTCAGCGGAGAGGCGCCCAATTTCGAGGACAAAGACAAGCTCCTGGCAGCTACCAAGCCAAGGTACTGCCATATGTGAGTCGGATCTTCTTTGCAAGTTAGAATTTTAGACATAGACATTGAATTACATTGATACATCTATCATTGGCAGTCGTATTGGCAGTCGTTTTGAACGCACTTCTGCACTTGAAATGTTGGCAGGGAGCGTGAACGAGAACGGGAAAAAGACAGAGATGGCGGCAAGGTGGCGTTGAATGGCTGACGAATCTAGTGAATCTAGTGGACGGATTGCATCACTGCATCGCAATATAGTATTGTAGGAGGATTAAGGCAGGCATTCCATTAACAATATCGACCTAGGATTTGGCTTGGACCCCTTCTCTGTATATATATATATATGTATATACGATTTTCTTGGTCCAGAGTCAAGAATTTTCGCATCAGTCAGAGTGAACCACGCCAGTATCAATCAAAAACTGGCGCAATTGGATCTTACGGTGCCAACCTGTCAGGAGCGTGAGCGAGAGAGGAGTCGTGGGCGTCCAGCGCTCAGTCGCGTTAAGTGGTGATTTCCCAACATTTTCCTGACCAAATTCAGGGATTTTGGCAATGGAAATCGTTGAGATGACCCATTGAACAAAGCAGGGATTTCCCGTGCTATATTTGATGGAGGATCTGGAGGGTAATTTCAAAGTCATCCATTTGGGGGTTTCAAAAAATTGTTTTGCTCCAGTCATGTTCGAAATGATGTTGCCCGCAGTGACGAAGTACCATTTTTAGGGAGGGTTCTGCCACAACGAGTCACTGGTGGTGATACCCAAATGTACTGGTGCTTAGACTGCACATTTTCTGGTTGTTTCGTTGGTCAAATCGCGATTTTTGCCAGTGGCACATCCAAATTTCGATTGGAGATATTGGAGGTTCAATCCAAGCTGTCATTGTCATTTTTCCAATGGTTCAGGAGCAATCACTAGTAATCCAATAAAATCCCCGCAATTTTTGATGGTGGTTAAAGCTGTTACCCTCTCGAAATTTAACGTAGCTATTGAAAATGGCCATTAATAGTGGATTTTCCCATTAAAAATGGTGATTTTCCATAGCTATGTTAGTTTACCAGAGGGTATCAATGGTTATCAGGTGTTAACTTCCATGACTGTCCCAGGTGACGACCGCCGGCGGGACGACCGCCGCCGCAGCCGCAGCCGCGATCGGCGGCGCGACAGCCGTGACCGGCGGCGGAGATGAGGTCAGATGATGCCGGGAGGAAAATGGTGGAAACTAGGCAGTTTATGGGCAGAAACTGGGCAGTGGCATCCAGTTGTCACGGTTTGAAACAGAGATAGAAGTGACAACTGGATGGAAAAGGAGCTGGAAGACATGAAGAGAAAGGGGTCGTTTTGCAGGGAAGAAGGGTTGTTTTGAGATAGGGTAGAGATGGGTAGAGGGGTTTCTTGCTTAAGCTCGCTTTTTCCATCGCATTGCCTGTTCATGGGTCACTCTTGCCCCAATAGGGTGCACGACATGTTCAGGTGAAGAAGAGAGCCCCATGCATGAGTTCAAGTGTGAAGATGCACTTGAGATGGAGCGAGAGCTTGAATTATTTTGGCCTTCCGTAGATTTGGACAGCTGGCTTGCTGACCTGCAAATATTTGGGCACACACACACACACCATAAATTCACATGCGTGACCCTTGAGACAACAGCGAAGCCACTCTTGTTCCAAAGCCGGGATGACCCACTAGAACTTCACTTCGGCAACAAGTTCTGGCTGAGGGAAGCACAGCTGCCAAATTTTCGAAGGTGGCATTTCGAGGAAGTTTTGATGGCATCTGCGAAGGCCGCTAAAAAATGTTAGCCAAAACTATGCCCACCGAACCAGTACTTAACCTTCTGAGTGGGATCTTCGCAAATGCCGTGGGTGGGGAATAGTTACACTCCAGTCGTCAAGAAGTCCTGATGGCATCATGATCTCAAGCTGTTTGTGTAGCCCCCACTCACAGCCTGGCTTCAGTGCTGGAGCAGATTATCAGCCCGTCGGCTGCAAAATGCCTTGACTCGCCTGTTTTGAATTGACAATATTGATAGGTGGAGGTTTGGTGACTTGTGTTGTCTGGAAGGTGCACCTGCTGATTGGATCACTGGATCACTGTTGCAGCCAATTTGGGGCTCAGAGAAGTGGCCGAGTTGCTGGGCAGCGTGCCGAAGGCTGGAGGGTCACTGGAACCCCGTGCAATCTCGGTTGCCCTGAACAGGTTCGCACTAGCATCGGTCGCTGAGATGCGTTGTCTTTGGCAATGAAGGAGTGGCTACTTAGTTGCTGCCAGGTAAGGAATGGTATGTGTGTATGTATGTATATATATAGACAGTATATATAATTTAAGTGGCATGAGACATGAGTAGGAATCGGCAAGATTCTGTTGTTGGGAAAATTGGGCATCCAGGCACCGGCAACTCTTATTGTGGTGTTGGCTCATGGGGTTCAGAACAAATTTTCAAGGAACATGTTCCAAGCTCACCTGACCCCGCGTGCGGTAAACGGTATACGATGTCCGCTCAACACAGCGCCAGACCAAAATGAGCTTTCAGAGCCCAAACGAGGATGAAAGCCAACCTCCTTAAAAGGTGATTCAGCATGAAAAGGTGACACCAGTTCAGAAGTCAATATGTCAATATGCCTTGTGAAAGGTGCACCTGGATCATTCGACGAACAGTTCACACTCTGCAGCATCGCACTGAAGCCATGGGCCAAGATGAGCTGCTGGTGACGATCGACAAGGCGGGGATGAAACTTTCCTGTACTTTGTGGCTAGATCTCCGACCATGAGTCATAGGTACGGATGAAAGGGTCAAGTTTGAATCGATATGAATCGATAAAAACCATGTAAAGACAGCTGACTCAAGTGAAACCTCTTGGAGCGAAACCCACCATTTCAATCCATTTTATGGATTTTGTGGCTCTAGCGCTTGATGTTCGCCCTGTCAAGCTTGCCTGGTCCTGTGCAGCGATGGATTTCCAGGAGGTGTTGAAACGGGTGTCCCATGTCATCAATTCAGAGGTTGTATCGAATCCAAAGGAGATTCCTCCTTTGGATGAAGATTATGATGTGATGGCTGCATCTGTGCGAATCAAGCCCAAGGATGATATTATGAATGCGGGGCTCGATTCCCTTGTAACCGTTGCCATCGTCTCCCGGTTGTGGCGTTTGTATCCCAACAACATGCCATGTGAGCCTGCCTTCTTCTTTTACTATCCCACCATTGAGGCGATCGCAACAATCATGCATCAAGGGACAGACACCAGTGAACCCATGAGGCCAGAGCATGTGGATCCTTTCCCTCCGAAGTATCGGCCATTTGTTCCGCAGAAACCTGAGTTGATGCCCTTTTCGCAGCTGACTGGCACTGCCGTCCCGTCCGTTTGGCGACCGTTGCACCTGGAAACCAAAGATGGCATTCGTCGGCAAAGCGATGGTATGCAGTGCATCCTCATCCCAGGTGCAGATGTGAACATTGGCGGTGGCACCATGGAAGATGCGCGATGTAACGAACAGCCCACACATCCAGTGAGACTGAGCAGCTTTTTGATGGACATCGAGCCAGCTACTCGGAATTCATCCAAACTCCTTGCAGTTGCTGTCATTTACTTTAGAGCCATGTACTGTCGTGGCCTTTTAAGGAATGGAGAGCAAGGCAGCTAATCTAATTATGTCTATTAATATTTCAATGTAAATTATCCATTATATATAGGTTAAACTAACATGATGCCTGTGTATTTTGGTAAAGAATATTGGAACCCAACTGTAACTGATCCAAAATCATGACTCTAAAGTGATTGATTAGATCTAATTCTAGAACTTGACCGTTAGAAGTGGCAATTGAAGTAATCGGTGTATTACAAAACACGATAGGAAGGGGTACACTATGATGGTCTCTGCAACGCAAACCACTCCTGCACCCCCAAAGAGAAATAATAGGAGTCTTCCCCCAAAATCAGTTATGTCAGGAATCTTCTCCAATATTCCCGCTTATTAGATCTTATTAGTGGATCGATGTGTTTCTTGTTGGGGTCTACCAGGTGAGTGTGGGATCCTACGTTCGCTTCCTGAACCTGGCGACGCCACCCCCCACCGAAGTGGAGCTCCTGGACTGGTGCCTCTTGCGGCCGAATGACAAGCGCAGATGTCACGTGCCCATTGTGAGGCGCCAGGACAGGTGGCAAGTGAAAGATTTGGTGCCAGAAAATTGGCCCATGATCCTGGTGTCCTGGTATGGTGCCAACGCTTATTCCCTCTGGGTACATGGGAAGGATTGGCGTGACTACAAGAGTTCTGCTGAGAGTTTCCTCCCAACCGAGGCTCAATGGGAATATGCAGCTCGTGGAAAGGATCCTAAAGACTTTCCATGGGGACGAGGAGAAGATACAGATTTGTTGAATGTTTGTTGGGATCTCAAGACTCACCTGGAGAACGCGGAAGCTCCACCACCTCTACATCAGCTGCCTTTGGAGCCCGTGAATTTGACCAAGGGCCAATCCCCGTTTGGGCTCCGTGGAATGGCGGGGAATGTGTGGCAGTGGTGCCGTGATTTTTATGATCCTGATTTCTATTCCTCCAAATTGGCCAGTTGCGAAGATGCTTGGAATTTCACGGAGGGCGACTTCCGCTCTGAGCGGGGAGGCAGTTGGGTGGGACCTGCCGCCCTTGCGCGCAGCAGCTTTAGAAGGGGACGCTGTCCCGAGGCCAAGGGAAGATGTCTGGGGTTTCGATGCTGTGCCCCGGCAAGCTATTTCAGTGACAAGAGCAGCGCTTGAAATCTGCAAAGATGTGCAAAGCACGGAAAGCCTGTTTGAAGGCTTCGGGTACAGTTGAAGCTTTGGCTTGTGCATGCAAAACGTCCTTCATCAAATGATGAAAACCGTGGTCAACTTCTGTGCACGACAAAGTATAGAGTGGAATGGGTACGATAGAATTCAGCGGAGAAGCATTACCCACATATCATACACCATACCATTGAAGCATATGGATCCGCAGAGAGAGTTAAATCACAATTAAAGCAGTTGGGAATCAATCATATTTCCATGTAGTTGGGAGACTCGAGATCCCCAAGTTCAAATGAATGGCGAGACTCACATCCTCAATTCTCTTTGCACCTGCTCCTGCATTGGCACAAGGAGCATTGGCCCAAGAATGTGCTGCGGATGCTTATGCCAGCACTGCGAAAGTTGGGTGATTCGCATGGGCACATCATCGTTGCCCCACAACCGGCCAGAGGTGGAATGGGAGATGGGAGGTGGGAGGAATGCTGGAGCAGTTGGGAGGTGCTGAAACAAGATGAAACCAGTGAACTCGCAGCAACAGTCAGGACGTGTCAAGGGTAGGAAAGGTCAGCATCCCATGATCCGATGTGACAACAACTTCCATCCAATCCGGAGGTTGCCCCACACTTACAATCATCATCATCATGATCATCATGATCATCATGATCATCATGATCATCATGATCATCATGATCATCATGATCATGATCATCATCATCACCGCCATGATCATGATCATGATCATGAACATCATCATCATCATCATCATCATCATCATCATCATCATCATCATCATCATCATCATCCTCATCATCATCATCATCATCATCATCATCACCATCACCATCATCTCCATCACCATCATCACCATCATCATCATCATCATGATCATGATCATGATCATGATCATCATCATAATCATCATCACCATCACCATCATCACCATCACCATCATCACAATCATCACCATCATCACCATCATCATCATCATCACCATCACCATCATCACCATCATCACCATCACCATCATCACCATCATCACCATCATCACCATCATCACCATCACCACCATCATCACCATCATCATCATCATCATCATCACCATCACCATCATCACCATCAACACCATCATCACCATCACCACCATCACCACCATCATCACCATCATCATCGTCATCATCATCACCATCACCATCATCACCATCATCACCATCGCCACCATCATCACCATCATCATCATCATCACCATCACCACCATCACCATCATCACCATCACCACCATCATCACCATCATCATCATCATCATTATCATCATCATCACCGCCATCGTCATCGTCATCGTCATCATCATCATCATCATCATCACCATCATCATCATGATCATGATCATGATCATGATCGTCATCATCACCATCATCACCATCATCACCAGCATCACCATCATCATCATCATCACCATCATCATCATCATTATCATCATCATCATCACCATCATCATCATCATCATCATGATCATGATCATCATCATCATCATCACCGCCATGATCATGAACATCATCATCATCATCATCACCATCACCATCACCATCATCATCATCATCATCATCATCATCATCATCATTGCATCATCATCATCATCATCATCATGATCGTGATCATGATCATCATCATCGTCATCATCATCACCGCCATGATCATGAACATCATCATCATCATCATCACCGCCATGATCATGAACATCATCATCATCATCATCATCACCATCACCCGTGTTAACTCCTGTGGAATGGGGAAACTTATGTGTCTTATATTCAAAAGGGATCATAAATCCGCCACCCCTTATGACAAATATATAAAAATGGGGCAATCACATCAACTTATCTTCATAAGGAATCAGAAATCCACCACCCCCTCTGGTAAATATGTTGAATGGTGTAATCACATAAACTCATTTTCATAAGGGATCAACAAATCCACCCTCTATGACAAATTAAATTGGGTAATCACATCCACTTAGCTTCATAAGATATCAACATCTGCCACCCCCTCTGACAAATATGTTGAATAAGGAATAGCACCAACTTATCTTCATAAGGGGTCAAAACTCCACCACCCCCTCTGACAAATATGTTAAATGGGGTAATCACATCAGCCTATCTTCATAAGGGATCAACAAATCCACCACCCCCTCTGACAAATATGCTGAATAAGGAATAACATCAACTTATCTTCATATAAGGGATCAACAAATCCCCCACCCCCTATGGCAAATATGCTGAATCTGACAATAGCATCAACTCATCTTCATAGGGGATGATGATGATGACGACGATGATGATGATGACGACGATGATGATGATGACGATGATGATCATCACGGATCACATATACATCTACATATCGAAATTCCACCGACATGGCATTTCAAAAATACGCAACCCTTCCACAATTCCGGCGCAAAGCAACGTCAGGGTTGCAGCCAACAACTTTGCAGTGCAATGCCAGGCGTGATCCTCCTGCAGGGTGCTGCCAAGCACCTGGAGGCAGCTAAACCTGGATTAAGAGCCTTGAGACTGGGCAAAAACCACCATATGCCACCATTCTTGGAACCTAACTTCTCCCACGATGTTTGGAGTTTGTGTGCCTTACATTGATTGTTGTCAGTTTTTGAAGTGTCTTGGCCAGGTGGAAATTTGGGATGATTTGATACTTGTGGGCACTGAGGATTGAGGAGTACTTCCCAGATGCTGACGTCCCGAAGGAACTGCTGAAGCCGCACGAGCAACCGGAGCAACCAGAGCCAGAAGCGCCTGAAGCACCGGAGGCAGAAGTTCCCGAGGAGACAGAAGCAGAGCCACCCGCGAAGGCGGAGGTTGACACTCCTCAGGTCGGACGCTGGCTCTTTGCCACTAAACATGGACGCATATCATGCTCCAAAACCTTTTGGTATGATTTTGGCATGATTTTGTATGTAGTTTCATGTGGTTTTATCTTCCAATCTTGTTTGAGGAATTTCCATTTGTATCTTCATTGATATTGACGACAAAGGATGACATGGAGGTCTTGTGTCTGTGTTAGGTCCTGGCGGCCAAAGCACTGCGCCGCGCTTACGCCACCCACAGCGCCAGCGCCATGCGAATCGCCCTTGGGGCCGCCTACTCGACGGGCGTGGATCGAGAGACGCTGGAGGAAGGTGAGAGGTGCTTGAAGGTGCGGCAAGCTTAGGGAACTTTAGGGAACTCAGGGGGAAGATACCGACTACTGCATACACAATAGATGGCTGAGTTTAGATATCATGGAGGAAACCAGTGAATGAACAAATGAACATATAAATACATAGTTAGGTACCCCCTAAAACGCACGCTTGCACGAGATGTATGCATATATATATATATAAATAAAATTATACACATGCATACATTTTTATTCTATGTATCTATGCGCATATGTATACACATACACACATATTTATATACAATTATAAATAGATAAATAAATTAATAAATTAAATTAAATAAATAAATAAATATGTACATATATATATATACATTATCTGTGTGTATGTATGTATAGTATATATATATATTATCTGCATGTGTATACAGATATGCGTGCATGAGCCTTACAATTTCCATATCCTTGGAACCCTCAGGCATTTATTTCTGATTGTTCCGATTGTTCACTGATTGCAAGTCGTCTTTGGCCCAGGAGTTGACCGCTGCTGCAGCCTTGGGCGTTGCTTTGCTCGGGGAGGTGTCCATCCAAGAGCTACAAACGGTCTTGGTGGCAGCACGGGAGGCGTGCAGCGAGCGAGGATAAGACATTTTGTGGGCTCAGAGGCCTCCAATATGCTGGCACATCAGGGCACACACATATCAATTGATCTGAGATTTTCATCAAATATATCAAGGAGTCTGCTTCTATTCACGCTACGTTCGCTCATGCGGTGCCCATTCCCATACATGTTCTTAACATGTTCAGTGTCCACTTCAGAATGTAAAACAGGACATGGCAATCGAAAAAGAATGCAAGAAGTGGGAGACATAGATGGACAAAGGACATACATAAAATTGACACCGTTCCACTGTGTTCCACTCTTCCCTGTCGAGGCGGGCGTAAGCGAGTCGCGGCTGGAGGAAGCTGAGCTAAAGCTGGGCCGTTTGGAAACCAAAAGGGTGCTGACCCAGGCAATGGTACCTGGGTCCCTGGGGGGTTCCACCGCTGACTGCTGGATGAACCTGCATGCTGGTTGTTTTTTTCAGTTCAGGAGAGATGTTTCGAAGAGCCGGATCTACAAAAACACATCAGACACATATACCGTTTTTTGAAGCAACCAAATTCACACACACACACACGCGCACACACACGCAGAGATTGCACACGCACACACATATTATTATGTAGAAATCTACAGAGAATAGAGAATAGAAAGACATCGAAAACTCCCTCGCCCAGGCCATGTCCGCCAGCGAGGCGGAGCTGCGCGAGGCCCTGGCGGGAGCCAAGGCCATGGGCGTCGAGGCTGCGGTGCTGGCGGAGGCGGAGGCCCGGCTCTGCAGCCTGGCGGCTGACACGGAGCTCCTGAGCGCCATGGAACTGGTGAAATCCTTCGAAGCCACCGGGGCCGTGGATGAGGACGGATGAGGGGCGACGGTTTGAAGGTGGAAAGGTGCCACATACACACACATATACATATATAATATATAATATATACATATATACACTTACATAGATACATAGATACATAGATACATAGATACATAGATACATAGATACATAGATACATAGATACATACATCCATACATGCATAGATACATAGATACATAGATGCATAGATGCATAGATACATAGATACATACATACATACATACGTACGTACGTACGTACATACATACATAGATACATAGATACATAGATGCATAGATGCATAGATGCATAGATACATAGATACATAGATAGATAGATAGATAGATTAGATTAGAGTAGAGTAGACTAGACTAGATTAGATTAGATTAGATAGATTGATAGATACATACATAGATACATAGAGACATATAGACATAGATAGATACATAGATACATAGATACATAGATACATAGATACATATATAGATACATAGATACATAGATACATAGATAGATAGATAGATAGATAGATAGATAGATAGATAGATAGATAGATAGATACATGCATACATGCATACATGCATACATGCATACATGCATACATGCATATGAGTGGATGGTGGTTGAGTTTGGGTGGTTGTGGTTGAGCAGGGGACCACCCCCAGATTTTTGAATTGCAGACTTTGTCCAGGAGACTGAAGTGGTCTTTGCTGCGGCTGTGCGAGAGGCTGAAGCTGCGAAGGTGTCAGGTGCACTGCTGGCTGAAGCTGATGCATGGCTTGGGCGTATGGCGGCGCAGAGGGAGGCGTGCCAGCTGTGTTTGGTGCATTTTCTTTCGGGAAGCATGCTGTCAACTGCAGGGAAGAGAGGAAAGAGATATTGCTTTCATTCTGAGTGGTGAACTCCAGCAAGGCTCAGCTCAGCCAAAAGCGTGCAGCTCCGGCGGAAGAAAGCAAGCCGTCGAAGCGTCCAAAGAAGCAGCACACAGAGGAAAGTACAGAAAATACACAGTTTTCTGTGGATGGAGATTGCTTGAAGGAGTGGGCATGCTGTTGCTTGGTGTGATCTAGTTTCTGACCAAACCAAAATGCAAAGTTTCCCAACAAACTTTCCATACCGTTCCTATCTGTATTCATCTATTGTAATTGAAGAGTTCCTTTGAATCATTTGAAGCGTGGCCCCCTCTGGAAGAGTCTCCCGAATCTCAAGTGCATCCAGTGCCACCTCTACAGAGCCGCAACCAAGGCTTGCTGGAATCCAGCTTGCTGATTTGCTGCAAGCGAAAAGCGATCCAAGCCGAGGATGGGCACCTGAAATATGTGGGATCCTGGCACCGATGAGTTGCCCGAGGTTGGGAAATCAACAGATGGACCCAACTGAGTAGCCTGCCGCGCCTGCCGCTGCCAGGATTTCGATGCGGCCCTTGCTTTGAAGCAGCTGGAGCAAGCCCTGGGGGATCGATTGCAGAAAGCTAAGACCAAGTGTCAACAGACTGCAGGAGCCACTCAGCCTGTGCGGCTAGAGGAGGCTGGTGCTGAGATGATGCTCTATCAATCTCTATTATTCTATTATCTATCTATGATGCATCCATTGTGTACATATATATATATGTGTGTGTGTTTCTCCTATCTAATCTTTCTGTCTATTTTCTTCTACCTCTATATTTATTCATATCATTTCATTTCTATATCTATGATCTATTTCTGTCTGGTTCCCTACATCTCCACACGTTTTCCCGCCAAATTTCCCCACTCTTGGCTCACAGGTGCGGCGCCAGAAGCAGGAGGCCGTGGCGCGGGAGGACTACGACCGTGCCATGGAGTTGAAGGAGTTGGAGAAGCAGCTGGAAAATCAGAGGCAGCGACCAACAAAAATGGCTAGGTCCGAAACGGTGAACCAATAGCTGGGATATATTCAACCAGAACTTTCGTCATCATACATAATCTCTTAGTTAAAGGAGTGATTTCTGAAAATCCAAAAAAATGTGGTAAATCTATATCATCTTTGGATTTGTCTAACCTGATTTCTTCAGAAACCGTGAGGATTTAACAATCACAACCTGGGGATTTTAGCATCAAAAATTGGGAGGATGGAGATGGGCCAACACCAATTGGACTTCGGCTCCGAGAATGAGCATTCATAAGTATCATTTTTTTTGGGGGTGTGAAGACCATTTTCCTCAGGAGTTTGAACCCACATCCATATGGTCACAGATGTATTCCAGTCGCTTTTTCCCAAAGTGAGACCAACTTTGGACTAAATATCAATCATGGGAAGATCAGTGACGACTAGTGACTAGACTCTGGCTCCAAAGAGCGCTGTCAGCCGTTTGTTTTTGCCAAGCCTCGGCGGATGATCCGAGTTGAAAGGGGTTGGGTTCTTGTCGGTTCTGGCCGCTGGAGATGCCCAACATATCAACTGTTAGGCAGCTGGAGGAAGTGCACGCCACAGCGGCCGCCTTGCGACTTCTTAGTGATTCCAGTGCAGAGGCAGGGCGATGATCTTATTTGGAGAGCTGGGGCAATCCCCATCTACAACTCAATTCACAAACAACCGTGGTTGGAGTGGGGGGAAATCCCCATGTGTCAACAAGAATTCCATAACTATCCATGTATACAAGACCCACCATACATACATGCATACCTACAGACAGACAGACAACAGGCAGACAGACAAACAGACAGACGGACTGACGGACGGACAGACAGACAGAGGGCCAGACGGCCAGACAGCCACACAGCCAGCCAGGCAGGAAGGCAGGAAGGCAGACAGGAGACATGCATAACATGCGTGACATGCATGAGATACTGACATACTGACATACTGACATACATACAGACATACATCTATCCATCCATCCGTCCGTCCATCCCTCCATCCATCCATACAGACCGACCGACAGACTGACAGACAGACATACATATGCGCACACATATGCATACATTCAAATATCTATCATGTACAAACATATCAATTGTATATATACATATACATATATATATGCACAATTACACACACACACACATACCCATGCATCGAGTTTGGCAGGCTTGGGTGTGCATGTATCATCTTCAAGTGTTCAATGAATGCTATCATTTTGGCTCAAGTAAACTTGAACCAAAATAGCATTCATTGCTGTTTTCTTTCTCGGTCATTGTAAGGGGCGACCTTACTTGACCTTGATTGGTGGGTTCAAACTCAACACAAGGGGTGACCTTGTATGCAGCGCAAACTCCCAGGCATTGATATTCCAGCAGCCACTGAGGCGAAGATCCTGCATGCGGCTGCGTTTTTGGAATTCAAGAACCACGTGGGAGAGGCTGGCAAGGGAGGATTCGGGCCCAGCAGCATACACATGCTGGATGCATGGTATCGAGGTGTTGCACTCCCCCTACGTTCTCACTACTGGGACAGATTGTGAGTTGTTTCCCCCCTTGCCGAAAATGCCCTGCTGCCTTGATGGATGTCCACGTTGCGCAGCTCATGTGGGTGGGTTCAAGTTCCCGTGGCTTGGCTTGTGGAATAGCCGGGGAGTTGTGCTGCCTGATGATGTGGCGCCTGCGGATGCTTGGGAGTACTACTACCAGCACCAGGAACCCATGGATCTCCTGCTGGTTTCGGCATACACGAACTTCAAGGTGGCCGAGGACGTGGTGCCCCAAGAGCTCTATGGACTCCAGCTCAGATGTTCAGCGGGCGACGCTGGGCAGCTGGGCCTGGGCGAGCTTTTCGAGCAATGGAGGGTCTGGCTTCGATGTGTGGGCCCGCACGAGCTCCTGCCGATCTTTCTCGAGCCGCGTCACTTCCCCAGGGCCCCCAGGGGGCGACCCTGGCCGGCATGGGGGAGAGAGGGCGCCAGGGCTCATCGAGCTCTTTGTGGATGGCTGGAAAGCCAAGAAGCCAGAGTCCAGCATCTGGGGACTGCATGCACGGAGTGCGGCGACCCCACCAGGCGCGTGTGTTGGGCCTGCTGCGTTGGCATGTGTAGTGACTGCTATACATGGAGGCAGCCATGCACAGTTTGTGGAGGCCGTAAGAAGATGTTCGCTGAAGGTTGATGCTATGACAGAGGAGGCACCTCTGGAGTCACCGCAGCATCTTTTTGCTCTCCGCACCTTAGCAATTCTGTTAGGGTGCAGTGCCATGGCATCAGGCGGAAAAGGCTACTATGCAGCTCAGGCGGCAGCCTCATCTTCGTCAGGGGGTGACCCTGCACCAGGATGGAGGGCGGCCGACTCTTTAATGATGATTGCTGCTCAGAGGGCTCGCCAATGGAGGGAGAATGAAGGCCTTCTGGATGACAATGACTTTGCCTATGCCTACACAGACTACGACCAAGTCGTTGGACTCGCTGGCCATCATGTCGCCGATGACTGGTTGCAGACGCGAGCAAGGGTCGAAGAAACCCTCCTTGCCGCTGGAGCCAAAGTCGTGGAGGACCACCCCAAGGGTTACGTCACTCTGCGCCCAGCGCGCAAGACGATCTACAAGAAGAAGCCCAGAGCCATCAACGTCGACAAAAACCTGAGTGAAGCCGTCCAGAAGAGGGTGAACGGCGTGGTTTCAATGTTTGTTGGCATGGGCGCGTACAAGCCAGCCGGCATTTTGACCGACACCCTCAAAGCTGAATGGAAGCAGACGTGCAGGAGGATCGCCGAAAAGAAGGTGAAGGACGCTGAAAAGGCCACCATTGACAGAGTGGTCAACACTTGGTTGGAGCTGAGGACCTTCTTGGAGAGCCGGGGGCGACCCGCTCCTCCCGGAATGGTCGACCTTGACCAGTTCCTGAACCACACAGCGGCACCAGCACGGGCACTCCAAGCTTTGAAGTGGATGAATAAGAATGCCGACCAGGATCTTGAGCTGGGCAACTTGCAAGTTCCCACAACACCCAGGGCGACTGGGCAGCGTGGGCAAGCTCCGGTGGTCGAGCCACCCTTGGTGCAGGCCTTGGAGGACCGCATCATGGAACTGCATGCGGTAGGCGATGAAAGGTGGTCAGTCCTCCTGGCCCCTTGGATCATGGCGTTTGGCTGTTTGAGGTATGCGCATATATCTCGAACAGAACCTCGACGCCTCACCGCTGCATTCCTCCATTGCAGGTGTCCCAAAGGCAAACAAAGGCATGCTCGTGAGGGATTCGACTTTGCAGTGCCGGCAACCTTTGCCAATGGGTTCTTTTGGGCCAAGGAGGTGTTGGAGGCCTACAGGACACTGGCACCGGCAAGGCAGAGGCTGGCAGGTCTTTGTTTTTCGGACGAAGGACGCCCTTGGACGATCCTTGAAGTTCAAGAAACGATGCAACAGGAAATGTCCGTGTTCCTCGACAATCCTGAAGACCTGACCACCTACAGTTGGAGAAGGTTGGCACCCACGGTGGCCCAATTGTTGGAATGCAAGCCTGAAGAAATGGCCGCCCTGGGCGACTGGCAAGCCAAGGGCGAGGTGCCAGAAGTGGGTGCAATGGCCTTCCACTATTCGTCGGCCAAATACGCCGCGTCGATCAAGGTGAAATCACTGATCTGGGGTGCGACAGCGAAGCTGACTAGCAACCTGCTGTGGGAGGCGATCCCGCAGTCAGAGCTAGACGCAGCCCGGGTCCACGGCTTAGCAGAGGCAGACCGGTTGCTGAGGCAGGACAGGCAACCAATGTGGGCTTCCTCCCACAACTTTCAGGATGTGAAGAAGAGGCTCAAACTGTCACAGCAATTCGTCGAAGCCGCGCAACAAGCCCGCCAGGAGGCAGAAGCGGCACCGGCCCCCCAAATGCCGGACCACCTTCAGGGGAAAGTGTTGACAGCCACCCTGAAGAACGGCAAGGCCATCTGCCCAGACTACCAGACGGATTCGTGCCCGAATGAAGCAGACTCCTGTCCCTTCGGAGTGCACTTATGTGCCGTCTTACAAAAATCGGGACGGGCATGCGGTGGCAAACACGGCGCTGGTGTGTGCCGCATCAAGCGCGCAGTGCTCGCTGAGACCGCAGTCCCGGCAGCCCCCAAGCCTTCGGCATCCTTGGTGCCGGCAGCCGTTGGAGCGAAGGCTCAGTTCGGCAGAAAGAGGACCGGGGCAAGTGGAGCAACCGATGATGAGGTGGCAGAGGCTATGCGCTCAGCCGTTAAGAGAGCCCGAGGCAGCGCTGCACCGAGGACACCGCCTAAGGCGCCGGCGATTGCAGCCCCAAAGACGCCTCCAAAGGCTACGGCTACTACCCCTAAGCCAATGGCGACTGCCACAACCCCCAAGCGTATGGCAGCCCCTGGAAAGCCACAGATCAAGGCCATGCCCAAGAAAGGCCGTGGGAAGGCGGCAGGTGATACTTTGGACATGCACCTCGAGAGATTGGGTGTTGGCTCAGGGACAGCCCAGGCTCCAACATGCATCTGGCAGTCACGGAAGGGAGGTGGCCTCTACTTGGCGGGACTTCCAATGCAGCAGACCATGGATAGGTTCCCCAAGACGGCACTGCAGATTTGCTGCTTCCCGCATGGTCCTGAGAGCCGGGGGGGTGACCCTCCCGGGAGCTCAGCTGATGACCTTTGCGGCGGCCTACAGCCAGGAGCGCAATGAGCAATGGACAGATGTGTGGCCAGCTGTGAAGAACACGGTTTGGCACGGTGACAATGTCCTAGTGCACTGCATCAAAGGGAGACACCGTGGGGCCTATCTAGGCATTCTTTGCCGAGCCTTGCTGGAAGGCGAGTCCATTGAGGCGGCCAACAACTTCGTGGAGAGTCGCCGGGACACAGAGCTTCACAAGGTGATCAAGGACCAAGGCATGAAAAAGTGGCTGCATAAGACCTTCCAGGACACAGCCGTGGGGACACAGCATCCTGAACCCCAGGGGTATGCAGCCACAGAGCGTTCCAGCACACATGTCACGGTCGAGGACGGCATCACCTTGTGCCAGCACAAGCAGGCTGACGGGAAGGCGAAGCGCCTGGTGAACCCGTACATGTCCACGGACATCTATGAGGCCCTAGCCTGGGAGCGTCCCTGGTGTGACCAGTGCCTCCGACGAGCACCGGCATCATGGTGGCCACCAGCCTGATCGACCAAGCCGAATTTTTTGGCCTTTGCGCTGACTTAGCTGCATAGGCCCGTTCCGGCCATGGAGAGCCGAATTCATCAGCTCGGGGCTTGGATAAGAGCTTACATCCAGCCTGCATGACCGCCCCCAGCAGTGACATCGAGTGCGTTAGAAAAATAAAGCTGCTAGGTTACAGTGGGGGGTCCACTGTGGTAACCGCAACTGTCATGAGTGACTCATTTCTTTTTCATTATTTTGGTCCTGGCATGTCGGACACGCAGGAGGGGGACTCCAGCGGGACATTTGACGTCATCAGGTGACCCCATGGAGGTGAGTTCATGTGATGCCCATGTTGTCTTTTCAAAGCTGACGCATGTTTTGTATTTTAGTTTTTGCTGGAACAGCGTCCTATCTGTCATGTCAGGCCGTTCGAGCACACTGCACGGGGGAGACCCGAGG